ACAGTATTTATAACTCTTATAATAATCAAGAAATGGAATGTGGTGGTCTTCCTGATGGACCTTGTAGTTGTCAACAGAATGTCATAAATGATCTACTTGCCGCTTATATCGTTTTCTCATTACAATATAGAGGTTTTGATAGCATAAAAAATACTGTCTTTGAACATTTTACAATGGAAGAAATTATTTGCTGTAAAAACCTGATTTGGAGTAAATGTGACCATCAAATTATAGGTGAAAAAATGAAAAGAAAGGACTCGATGTTCAGATCTGAAAAGGAAGCTCATTTGGTTGATATTGTGAATGCCATGGAGAAGATGGATAAAACCAATACGATGCCGACAATTGTTCTTAATGCATTAGAGCTTGATAAAATTCCGAGAGAATATCATGATGAGTTAAACATTATCACTCTTGCTGAAAGAGTGCATATTTTAGAATCCATAATAGGGACATCACAGGATCACATAAAGGTAACCTAATATTTCACACTGCCTCAATGGATCATTGAGGGACCTGTATTTAAAGGGCCAGTTCCCAGTGGCGTTGCGAGAAATTTTTTCAGAGGCGGGGGGCAATGCTCAAATCTTGTGATTTACAAGTGAAAATAGAGCAAAACTTTTGGCCCGAGAGGGGGGGGGGGGGGGGGGGGCCTAAATACGCCCCTGGAAGTACCTGTATTAAAAGGGGTGGTATGAAAATCAATTGAAAAAATAGCTTCAAAAGGTTAACGTAAACGTGTAGTAGTTTGCTTTCAAAAAAGTAACTGCGACATAATTTTAGTCAAAACTTTCAGATAAGGTAGGGGATACAATGACATTTCTGTTGCATAAATTGCATTTAATCGATCACCAAACGTTCAAAACATTTAGCACTTACAAAACAAGATGACCCTTTTTGAGTAGGCAAGTCTACATTGTTGATTTTGAATATTTTAGTTCCTATCGAGTTGTGTCACTATCCCGTGTAATGTTTTATACCTGTTTCAGAAAGCAGTACGGAAAACAACTGAACATGTTGACGGAATTAATTCATATAAGACTGCATACACAGGAAATACGTCATCGAGAGAAAGAAAGGGAAGAGCTACACTCGAACAATCTGATAAAGAGTCACAGGAAGTAACAAAGAAAAGAGGAAAACTGCCTTACTTGGAATTCACAGTTCTCCGAGAAAACCGAGTTGAAATGGTTAGAAAGTTGGTCCCCGAAAAAGTTATTCCATATTTAATAAAAAATAACGTTATTGACCGAGACGATGTGGAGAAGATCGAAAAGAAATGTAAAGATTTAAGAAGAAAGGGTGCTGAAACCCTGCTTGATATTCTTTATAATTCTAGCAGTCGGGCTTTTACAGAATTAATAACAGCTCTGAAAGAGGCCAAGCGTCATGAAATGGCACAGAAATTAAAAGAAGATTTAGAAAAGGTAATATCATCATCATCTTCACGGTCATCATCATATTTCATCGTTGGCGTCATTCATCGTCGTCAATCATTGTTGTCATTCATCCAACGTCGTTATCATTCACTATTGATCACCATGATTATTATCCATCATCATTCATTCACCATTCATTCCTCCATCGTCGTAGATGATTAGATGATTGGATGGTTCGTTCGTTCGTTCATTCATTCCTGTCCATGTTCATGTTCATGTTTGATTCCAGTATAAAAAGGAGCCTGCTTCAGTCAATATCAGTAAAAATAGAGGTCATTTGTCTAGAGATGAGTGTGAGGTTTTGAGAGACAACCATGAGAGATTGGTGAACGAGCTCGACTCGAGTGTTCTGAAAAACCATCTCTTTGAAAACGGGCTTATTGATGAAGATGATCTGGAAAGGATTAACAAGAAAGAAGAAGAGCTGAGACAGGAAGGGGTGGAAGAAATGATCGCCATAATTTATGAATCTGGTGAAGATGCTTTTCCCAAACTAATCAAATCATTAGCTGATGCCGGTTACGCTGAATTGAGCCTAAAATTGGAATCCGATTTAAAACAGGTAAATTATTCCAATATTCATATGTGACAATTCACTACAATACGTTCAATGGCTGTTATGGGACCGTCACACCACGACGTTCTGGTCAGCGTTCAATATTGTTTGAGGAAACGTTGGTTATCGTCCATGGTCGATGGGAAAGCGCCGATAGAGCGTTGTGTGAACACTAGTGAACGCTGGTTCGGAAAAAAGTTTTGAAAGCTAGAGAACGCTGAAAAACGTTCGTGGAACGTTGCATGCGTTCGTCTATCGTTAGTCAGCCGTTACCCTAGCGTTGATTGGTTGTTATTAATCGTTTGCTTTGCAGTGAACGACTCACTGGCGACCTGTCAACAACTACTGAACGGACCCCTAGCGCACGCAGCGTGTGGCTAACGTCAAACGACCTTCAAACGCTATTTTGTCGTTATTCGCACGTCAGTCACATGCTCAACGCTCGTGTAACGTTGACAAATCGTTCGCCGCGCGCCAGTGACACGACAGCACACGCTAATGGTTTTCATGGGTATCTTACTTGGTCGCTGTTACACGCCCCTCACACGTTAATCACACGCCAGATGTGTCCACCTCACCCTAGAACACTCAAAAATTGAACGATTAGAACGTTCAGAGAACTTTGACAAGAACGTTATGGTGTGACGAACCCATTTTTATTGGTCAAATTTAACAATTGAGATAGGGTCGGTCTCACAGACCTCTCCCGTGCTACCGTGTAACTAAACAGTGCAGTTTTAGCTCTCTGTATTTAAAGTGACAGATTCACTATCCGTTTGACCAATCGAACCTTAGTCTCTCTCATATTTTTTTAATACGTATATGTAATAATAATATGTAAATATTGAGCGATGACATCAACCTCAATTAACCTAAATAAAAAAACTTTTGCAGGACGAGGGAAAGTAGCGTTTTTACTTTCCGACCGATTTTCATAAATCTTGGCCTTTAAAAATAATGATCGACGGAGATGTTTTTTTCGGATCGCCGAAATGGGGTAGGAGACTGTCAGAGGTACGAATTCATTTTAGGGGACGTAAGGCTAGATTTTTTTAATGCGTATATGTAATAATGATATATAAGATTATGGTGTAAAGGGCTTAAAGGGACAGCTGCGCGCCATTCTTTTTGACCAATCAAACTTTAGTCTCAGAAACTGGATTTTTTGTTTAGCTAAGCTAATCAGCAATAGTCTGCACAGCTCAACTTCGAAACATGAGCCTTCAAATCCACGTGTGTCCAGAATTATTCGCGTTTGGAAGTTATAATGACGATTCGTCTTTTCTCGAGACAACGCTATACATGTTTTAAGAAATTTCTAGTTTCATGTATATTTGATGGGATTATCCGATATTTATATCAAATTTGAAAATCTTAATTAGTTCAATCAAAAAATCAGGGAGACGTTCACTATCCGTTCGACTAATCGTACCTTAGTCTCAAAAACGTGATTTCTTTAAGCTAAACTAAAAGTAATGGTAATCACAACTCACGATCGAAATTTGAGCCTCCAAAGCCATGTGTGTCTAGAATTATCCGCGTTAAACTGACGACACGTCTTTTCTTGACAAATATTCTTGAAATTCCTAGTTTAGGTATATTTGAAGTGATTTTCGTACATTTTTAGTACTCCCGAAGACAACTTTATATATTCAAGACCTAAATCATACCATGAAAATGGGAGAATTATTTACAACAAATGTAATTTTTGTTCTTTTTTTCTAGAAAAAGATCGGGGTGAAAATTGATCAGATTTCGATTGGACCTGAGCTGATGCTTGACGAAGGAGTTGACGCTAAGTCGAACTTGCAACAAAGATTTACCAAAGGTAATGATGACGAATAAATAGCAATGAGTAGCAAATAAAATGAAGATCAAAATAGTCTGGTGGCCAAACACCAGTTTATGATGAAGTATGTTTTGGAATAGATACAATGTTTTATTGTTTTTTCTCCTTCAGCTAGCCCTCTGAACACATTTCCAACGGGAAATTTTTTATGGACCAAATTCAAAATGGCCGCTATCCTCGATATCCCGAACACTATTGATGTCTTCTAGAGCATCAATAGACATTTATTATATTAGTGTCCAATTATAAGTTTTCAGGGTCAAGGATTCATTTATGGTGGTTTTTATTCCCTATGTCCAGGTTATTATAGCGAAAATTAAATTAGAACTTTCAATGCACAGTAAGAATTGTCCCATATAATCTTACACATTGTAACTTTTATCCAAATAGTTTATTCACAAATTGGTGTTGGTAAAGATTGCCATTATTGGTGTCCAAAAGAAATATTAATACTTATATAAAACAGTCCAACAACAGTAGATGCTGTTGGACTGGTAGATGGAGATGGTGTCGGATTTGTGGTAGTGGGTGTTATAGGACTGATAGTAGTCAAAACATTTTTTGGATAAAAGTTATGTGTCACAGGGTCATGGACTTCCGACGGTTCTTACTGAGTATTTAATATTTCATTTCTGGTATTTGCGTTAGATCTCTAGAAGATCTTTCTGGCAGCTAACGTCAGTGGACTATTGCGTTAGGTCGCTTTCTTGGAGCCAACAAATTAACGTGTTGCCGTGGCCTGCATGTTCCCCCGACATGTCCCCAATAGAACGACTCATCATGGATCGTCGTGTTCATCAGCGACAACACCCTCCACTCAATTGAGAAGAATTCACCCAGGCCCTTAATCAGACGATTAACTTTTTGGTGTGCGTCGGAGAGTTTTCTTAGTACTTCTAAAGACTATTTACATATATTTAAGACCCAAACCAACCCCCTGAGAATGGCGAATCAGTCCCTTTAAGTTTGTAAACTATTTGTGAAATTACATGTAAATGTATAATGATTATTATTTTGTTTTAGAATTCGAGTTGGTAATTAGTTGGTTCTTGCTTGTGAAACAGTCTTCATTGTCGTATCGGTCCTGGTGAAACACCATTTAAATCGACCTTCTGAAATTATTATGAATTTTTTTGTTTTTGTTTTAGAGTGTAATTTAGTTTTAGTTGGTAGAACTGGTTCTGGTAAGAGCAGCTTGGGAAACAGTCTTCTTTGCCCTTCCGGTTCTGAAAAACCATTTAAATCGGAAAAATCGGCAAACTCTATCACTACACAATGTCAACTAGCAAGAGCTATCTTAAAGGACGGTACTCTATTAACCATAGTCGATACTCCGGGTTTATTCAACATTTATACCCCGAACGAAATAACTATAAAGAAAATAGTTAAATCTAAAACAATCTGTGCACCTGGACCTCACGTCATAGTATTTGTTTTGGATTTGAAAAGATTTATAATAGAGGAGATCGAAACCATGGAAATTTTGAAAAAGTTATTCGGTACAGACGCCATGAAACATATCATTGTTGTGATTACTGGTAAAGACAAATTTGGTGATGATGATAAAGATGACGTCATAAAAACAACCGGCGACTTCATTAAAGATGGGCCTGATTTTTTACGAAACTTCTTGAAAGAATTTAATATGAGGTATGTAGGTATAGCAAATCATCCTTTTTCACCAACTCATGATAGTGACGTTAAAGATGTCATGAATCTTATTTACAAAACCATGGAAGATAATGGAAACCAGGTTTATTCAATGTAAGTATACTCCAAGTGCCAAAAGAAGAAATAAAAAAAGGCAACCAAACATCAACAACAATCTAAAAGAGAAATTCTAGAGGACATATTGAATGCTGGTCAAAAGACTTATAATTCGTAGAAATTGCTTACTCATTTTATAAGATAAATACACTTCTTAGCAAGGTGTAATTTTTAGTTTCATTTCGTTTTGCACCATGATTTCCAGAGCTCTAATTACTCTATTACATTCTAATGCAAGATATTTATTCTGGTAAATTCCTTTTTACATAATGTTGTGTATTGTACCAGTCACCATTTAAAATTGTTTTGATTGCATAAATCAAGAGAGAAATTTAAATTATATTACATTTTCTTAGGTCTCCATTGTAATCTTAAAAATTTATACCAAGGTCGCATACTATTGACGTTCATTTCAACCAATCACAGCTCGTATTGCAAAATCAGTGTCTAAATATCGACTATGAATTGTGGGATAGCGCAACCAAAAGTAGACGAATTTTGAGATTGCCGATGCCGATGTAAAAGTGATTCTGATTGGCGGGAGAGTAGCGCGTGATTGGCTGCTATAAATAGCTTGTAGCGTCACCAGTACGCGACTTTGGTATAATTCTCGTTAGATTTCAATGTAGACTGAAAGAAAATAACGAAACGAAATTGTAATCTCATTCTTGTGACGTCATCCTTTGATCTTTGCGGACCAAAATCCAACTTATTGGTACGGGCATTGTGCCACGAGTAAATTATTTTTTAAATATGGCGGCAAATTTTGGACTGCTGTGACGTCATAACATGATTGATAAATAACAGAGCCTGTATAGGCTCTGTAAATACTTACTTCGGGTGATTTTACAATAAATGGACTTATTTCTGAATTTTACTCGTGATTGACTCTGATGTTTTGGCCAGAAAAATTATGTAAATTCTAGTAAATGGTAACGTCCGATCGTAATGTTTACAGAATCGCATTAGGCTTATAGTTGTATAAATTGAAATATTAACTTCAAAACAGTACTGATAGTCTTAAGACTGTCCTTGGGTTGAAAGAAAATGTCAACCAATGAAAAAATTATTATTGTCTGAGCAAAGTAAAACGTTTTTGAATTTTTTCTATTATTTTTATGAGAATTGGAATAGCAGCCTCAAACTAGTTATGTTAGCCTTAAAATGTCTTTGCTTTGATAAAAATATAAACATATAGATACATTATTTCTTCAACATTTGCTTTTACAGTGGCCCATTTTCAGCCAAAAAATTTCAATTTGCTCAGACAATCGTTGAAAATATGATTTTACAGAGGACAATTTTCTGTTCCGAAATGTAAGTCAGTTTCACTGAAAATTAATGGTAATTTCAGATATAAATTTTCCAAACATTACATTTCTATGAACCCAAAGACAAAATACATGCATTTGAAACTTTATAATATTGTGGATATTTGTGAAATGGGGAAAATGAATTCAATTTTGGGCTTACTGTCATCAGAAAGTAGTCCTACTATATAAGATGGTATGAAATAATGTGGCATAACGCATCGATCTTTTTCTAACATATTTAGGGCAGGCCATCTCAGGTAAAATGGTATGTAACAAGAAACGTAACAACATAATCATCCCGGAATGCTTGCATTTAAATAATCATCGATATCGCTTACGTTTTTATCACCCCTAATCATTGAACATTGAAATGAATGACGAAGCTATAAAATACGAATATTATTTACCTGGAACAAGTATAATTTTAATACATCCCCCTTTCTCCTCGGTCTTTGTGTTACGATCATTAATGAATTTATTGGATTGCTTTCTGCCATTAACCTATACTCAATAAGATGGAGTAAAACAGGATAATGATTTTTTCAGTCCAATTTAATTGCAATAGAAAGGTGTCTTTTCTATTTTTGTTCTTCTCTGGTGACTCCATTTGCCATTCACGATTTGACGAATTTTTTTTGCATCTGAAAGATTTATTTACTATTTACGCGTAATTTTGGGAAATTTGTTGTTTAACATTGGTATGTAGTATCAAAACGCTTTAAGCAGATATTTTGTTAAACAGTAGTAAAAAAACGAATAACGAATAACGAAACATCAAAATCTCGAATATGATTTGTTCAACTGGCTAGCAATCTTATCTGATCACGAACACGTGTTAATTGTGTTGAAATGTTATGTACTTTGTTATTAAAGAAGTGAGTTATACGGTACTGTAATATTTTCTTTATGTTTTTGTTATTTGTGTTCTACGCTTCTAAAACTCTGATGCTTTATTAAGTTTTATGATTTTAAAGGTCTTTGTGTAGAGGGTATGTGCTGGTTTACTTGGCCTATGTTGAAATATAACTAAACTAAATTTTAAACCAAACTTTTTTTTCAAATTTATAAGTTTTTAAAATTCATAAAACAAGGCTTAATCGCTCTACTAACTTTAATAGAAAATCAAAATGTTTTTTACAATTTAACAGAAATTAATATATATGTGGCCAATAGGTAACATGAAATTGATACATACTCTCCCTTTTGATATGTTTTCAGTGTATTTCATACTTGAATATGATTTAATCTTCATCTAGAAGAAGAAGTAGACGTAACATCAGAAAATAAAACTACTAAAAATATTCGACCCTTTAAGCAAAGTTTCAATTCGCATTATTTTAGCTTGATAAAGATTCCTGCAATTTGAATTGAAACGTTGCTAAAATTAAAGAAAGGAGTAGTATATCCATAAGAGTGTTTTATTGTCTCATTAGGAATATATTTTTATTATTATATATATTTAAGCTAATTATCTCCTGTTTTTAAAGTATAATGTTTTAGTTTCCAAATTTGATGAAAATGCAGAACAATAACATCTTTCTTTTGTGTTTTTCTGTAGCTACTGAACTCCACCATAAAATTGAAAAACGACACACCAAGATCTGCAATTCGATCAGATGTTCAGGATGTTTTACTTGTAAAATTTTACTATAGATTGCAGAGTTTATATTAATAATATAACAATTAATTAGATATCGCCTATCAAAAACATTTCTGCCCTCTGGGTCCGATTTAAAACATTTACATTCACTGTTCGCCTGTATCCGTTATGTTTATTTTATTCTGAAAGCATAAGAAACAATAAAGAGTCTATTCTAATACAAGACTAACAAACCTAAGTGGCTATCCTTGTGCAACTTTCCGTCTTTGTTATTCAATTGAACACTATCAAGAAAAAAAATCTTGGATATTTTACAAAACATTTTGTAGCTGTTTTTTTTCTATTGTATATATTTACACATTCTTTACAAAATGTTCTATTTTTATAATATTGTAGGCATTTTCATTTGATACTTTTACATGTCTAGTCCTAGTGCTTTCATCTCTTTTAACATTTATTTTATTTTTGTGATATGTGAAATGTTTTCTGGCAGTAATAATAATATTATTTGCTTTTATGAGTTGAGTAATGAAACATTGCATCGAAGCAGTGTCACTTCAGCGGAGCCGTGCTCACTCAATGGGTTAAACCTTTGCTCACTTACCTGACAGTCCATGGTTCAATCCCGGCCAGATAATACTTTCGGATTTTGCAATCCGGTTTCCCCTTGTCTATGATGTTGGCTGGAGAGGCTGTCATTGCTCCTTTTGCTACAAACTGCGCACGTTGGACATCCTCCGACAGTGAGAAATCGAAAAGGAGTAGGCCCGAGGCTTATGCCACTGTATTGACAAAATTTCCCACATTGCACTCTGCATGAAGTTGCCCGTCTTCATTAGGCGATTTGGTGAAACAATGTACTTAATCAACCCACTCTTTCTCAAAATCCATCATCACAAATATCATCGTCATTCACATACCTGAATCATCTTGTCAATATGATGGTTATAGCTAATCTGATGTTGGTCATGTTACGGAAATCTGGTCAGTTGTGTACACTTACCGAATAAGATGGGAAGGTTGAAGGGACATTGATAGGACAACAATTAATCGACATTCAAAAGCTTGTCAATATTAGCTTGGTGTCGGGTGGTTAGAGAATCGAAACGAGGGAGGTGAAATGTGAAACGAAAGATCTTTAAACAGCATACTGGGCACCCATAGTATAGTAAAACGTGAAGTAAAACATTCTACTCTTAACTTAAAGTTGACAAAGATCTTGAATTTGGATTCAGAGAAGAATACATCAAACAATTTTACCATAATAAGTATGACTAGTTACCGGCATCAATAAGAATCAATGCTGTTACGAAGAACAACAGTACGGAACATAAAAAGTTATTCATTGTTGTAACGTTAGCAATGACGTTATTCGTTGATACACTGTCGAATACGATATTTGATCACACATTTTTAGTAAATATAAATGCAAAGCATCCCACTGAACAGATGTTGCCTAAAAGGTTCATTCTATAGAAACGGATTTAAGCAAAGTTAATGCATAATTTTAGAGAAATATGTAAGTATTCTATGGATTGCAACTAAAAATATCCTTTAATAGCCTTTATGAAACCCAAAACCAAAACTTGTGTAAGCTGCCTTCATTTCCTGGCGAATTTAAAGTATATTTGAATAGGAACTGTGGGACCACCACAAGAAAATTTGGAGAATTTAAAATTCAGTATTATTTGTATTGAGTCTGAGGGATCTTGCATAGAAAATGTTGAGAATTAGACGCCTGGAAACGCGATTTCCATATATTTCCCAGCAAATTGAAGGTTCCAAATATTTGTATACGGTCTGTGGTATGCCGCTTAGACATTTCCCGACGAAATTAAGGTTCAAGATTTTTTATATAGGGTCTGAGGTGTGTCGCTTAGAAAATTTGCCCTCAAGCACCCCCTTGACTACGGGCCTACCGAATAAGATGGGAAGGTTGAAGGGACATTGATAGGACAACAATTAATCGACATTCAAAAGTTTGTCAATATTAGCTTGGTGTCGGGTGGTTAGAGAATCGAAACGAGGGAGGTGAAATGTGAAACGAAAGATCTTTAAACAGCATACTGGGCACCCATAGTATAGTAAAACGTGAAGTAAAACATTCTACTCTTAACTTAAAATTCTTTAAAGATTTTTACTTGCGTATTTTTTGTTTAAATCTTGAGTTGTATTATCATTATACACTTATTCGTCGACTACTTGGTCTTTCTACTGTAAATTTATACTATAAGGTTTTGCTTTAATTACCCATGCTGTAGTGTTAGGTTTTTTAGTATCTAAAGGTAAAGAACATAAAACAAACTTCTTCGCCATTTTTAAATTTATTTTATAACTTCTCCAAACTGTTTTCCTAAGCTTAACTGATATAAAACCCAAAGTGAAAGTTGTCCACAAAACTTTTGTCCTGGCATTTGTATTTGTATAGAACATTTGATTGGTTGATGAGTCAATTTCATTATCTCTTCAGTTGGTTCCAAACCAAAAGAATCAAAGAAATAAAGGTTATTTAAAGTGTCTTTGTATAAAGCAGAGTGATGAACTCCGTTTTGATCTGAAGTATGTATATTTGTTATAGCATATTTCTTATCCTTGAGATTATTTATTTCATCTCTCATACAATAATAAAACGGTGATATATTTAACTCATTTGCCCATCTCATAAGTTGAAAGTTTGTAGTTGTATCGGTTCCATATTTAGCAAGAAAACTATTCATTTTTGAAAGTCAGTTTTTTGAAGTTCGTTTGGATAAAACCTACCTATGAGTTTTTCTTTGTCTTGATCGATTAATTCATATGTTGTAGGTGATGTGCTTTTTACTTTATATACGATAAATATTTACGTTTGGTAAAATCCTTAACCATTTTTGAGACTTTAGTTCTGTGAATTTTTTTTAACAATTTTGATTTAAGCGTTCTGTTAAAACTTTCTATTACTACAGCCTTTCCCTCGTTATGAGTACTATAAATTTCAAACCCAAGTGATTTTACGTTTCTGTTATAAAACTCTGTTCCAGCATCAACCCATAATTTCTATGGTTTTCTATAAGTTTGTTTCATAATTATTTCAAAAGCATATTTGACTGAAAATCCTGTTTTATTTTTCAAAGGAATAACCAATGCATATATAAATCTATAACTGTTAAACAATATTTATATCTTCTTTCAACAGGCATATGAATTAAATCAGCTGACCATATTTCATATTTATCAAATACTTTAACTTTTCAAAAGTTTTTAGTTTTTCTAAATTCTTCATGAATTTCATCTGCTAATCTCATATCCAATTTCATCTTTGCTTTTAACAGTTTTATAATCAGCGCTCTTTCCATTTTCTCTTTGAATGTTGGATTTGGAATATTTTCAATTTCGTTTATCATTTGTTTGTCTGCTTCGTGTCTAAACGTTATGTCTTTATTTCTGTATAATATATCATGTTTAATTGCAGCAGCGTCAACTCTATGTTCTTCACCTGACTTGGGTTTATCGTTTTTGTCTAATCGTAGATCTTACCTGGACCAGTGTAGTTATGACCCGGAAGATATTTTCTCCAGAATACTTTGACCAAGGGAAACCAGAAAGAGAACCTAATGATTTGTGAATATCTGAATCAAAAAAAGGTTAATAATTATCATCGACAGTAGTATATGAGCTCATAGATTGGTCGCATTTTTCCACATTCTTCATGGGAAAAATGCAACCAATCTAAGAACTCCCAAAAAAAAAGACCTAAATTCCATGCATTTCATAAATTCTTACATTACAAAAGACCTAAATTCCCTACATTTCATAAAACATCCTACATTTCATCAAATTCTTACACCAAAAAAACACCTTCAATCAATTTCCTACATTCCATCAAAAAGCTAATAAAATAATGTAGAAGGGAGATAACTCTTTTTTGGAAACACAATTTTCTACTCAAATTTTAAACCTAAAAAATGGCAAATAAAATACTAGATCCAATCTTTAGATTATACGATCCGATTCGTTATTCGTTTAACAAGAAAAAAGAGGATTATATTATCATCTCACCGACTGTTGGTTCTAAATCCCAATTGAATGATGGTGGTAGAATTACCTTCGAAATAAATTCATTATCGAATTGGTTGCTTCTTTCCGATGCTTATTTCAGATGCGATTTCAAAATTAAAGATGGAACTCAGAATCAAGTTTCACAAACAAATACAACGTTAGAAAATAATTTCTTTCCATCTTTATTTAGCGAGATGGTTTTGGAAGCTGGTTCATATCCGATAGAAACAATCAAACACCCTGGGGAATTCGACACAATGCTGAAAACAGTTTTATATCCTAAAGATTTCGATTCAGTCTCAGGTTGGATACCCGATGTTGGTGATGGAAGTGATTTAAAAGAACCGGTAAGAAATCTTGCAAATGATGCCGATTTAGATAGAGTGAGAGTTGTTGCTCGAAACACAATAGAAAGAGTAGCACGAGCAGCTAATCATGGATTTGAAAAACGAGTACTTCAGTACAATAATATTGTTGAGAATAATAGGTGGGGTAATTACGTAAATTGGAAATTATATCCTTTATTCGGTCTGTTGGAACACAGAAAAGTTTCCATAGGGTTACCATATAAAATTCATCTACAAAGAGAAATCAACGACGATAAGATATTTTTTGGAGAGAATGGTTCAGATGCAAAATTAGAAATAACGAATCTCCAACTTTTCATACCCGTAATAACACCATCAATTGAAGTAGAAACGAGAATATTCAACTCGTTAACTAAAGATATTGAAATAGCTTTTCTTCATCGTAATAGGGTAGGTAGCATGGCTTTAACTGGAGAATCCACCACATGGCCAATCACTAACACTATTAAACCAGCAAAATATTTAATGATTGGTTTCAAGAACTTAACAGATTCTCAAACGAATAACAATAATGTCTTTAGAGTGGCAATGAACCAAACTCAAAATCCTTTAATCCATAAAGTTCAAGTAAGATTAAACAACGATAATTATCCTAACCAACCTTTAACAATTAATCCAACCACAAAGGATTATAATGAATATCGAAACTATAAAAATATGTGTGAATTATTTGGAAATCTACCTAAGTTTGAATATGTAGATTTTGCACTTAATCATCCAATCTTCTGTTTTGATCTATCAGCTCACCAAGAAGATCTTTTCAAAACAGGAGTGAACATAAATATTCATATTGAAAAAACACAAGGAGATGTAACAGGTTATTGTTTATTATTGGAAGAAGCAAAACATTTAATTTAAATAGCAGATAGAAGAATGATAAGAATTGAGTAAAAAATACACCCTTAAAAATGATAGTAGAATTTTTAGCCAAGAAAATAATAGAAGCTGTTGAAACAGCTTCACCAACTGTAATAACTTTCAAAAAAAATCAAGAAAACTAAAAAAACTTATTGATAAATATAAATATTGTAAAGTCAGAGACGCTATAGACTTAGAAAGAATTGACGCGAACGCAAAAGAAGGTGGATTTTTTTTTACCTTCCTTCTACCTTTAATATTTGGTGGTATTGCAGCGGCGGGTGCAGCTACTGGAGGAATATCTGCCGCAGTCAAAGCTGACAACGCAAAGAAAGCAGCTGATGCTAAAGCCGCTGAAGAACGCAGACATAATTTAGCACTGGAAAAGGAACCACGAGGTTCAGGAGTGGGAGAAATGATAGGCACAATAAAAGAATTTGGAAAAAGATTTGGGGAAGAAACCAAGAAAACTGTTAAACAAGGATTAAATAAATTAGTAGATAGTATTGACACGGGAGAAGTCAAAGTCAAACATAAGGGTAATGGAATATTTTTAAAAAATATACACACTGGAGAAGGAATATATCTTTCAAAGTATAAAGGAGAAGGAGTGATTTTGGAACAAATTGAAATAATAAAAAATGGGCAAAAAATTTAATCATTCAGAAATATTTCCTAATAACCCAATGCTCATGTGTATATGCGGTAGTTCCGGTTCTGGGAAAACTCATCTCACTTTTAACATGTTGACAACACCAAAGATTCTCTCTATATCTACACAACAACACCAGAGCAATCGTATTATCAATTTCTAAAAGCTTTGGAATATTTACCAAAGAGAGATGTTCAAGACCTATTTCAATATTACGAAGAAAACGAAGAAGAAGTGGAAATAAAAGATATCATAGATAACTTCATCGAAGGAAAGAATCCAACGGATATAAAAGTTTTTCTTACCAAAAATGTTAATGATCTAGACTTGTCTAATATTGATAGCAAACGAAAGAACTTAATATTGTTTGACGACTGCGTAGCGCAAAGAAATCAAGGTGTTCAACAAGAATTCTTCACGAAAGGAAGACATCACAACTGTCACTGCATATACCAACCCCAATCTTATTACGGGATGGATTCTATGTTCATTAGAAAAAATGCAAATTGTTTTTTATTATTTGAATTAAACGATAAAGATTTATCTCAAATCATTCAGTCGATAAACCACGGAATGGACAGATGCATTTAAAAAGGTTTGTAAAGCTCAATGGAAAAACCCAGATGATCATGGATATATATTCGTTAATACTAGAAAACCTACGGGTGAAAGAGTTATAACAGACATTTGTTAAATATTATTTTTTAAAAAATGAGTAGCGATTGGAATAATATTTTAAAAAGAAATAAAGAATATATCAAAGCTAAGAATCAAATAAAGACCCTAGTTGAAAATAACAGATTACAACAACTCGGATTAACGGAAAATCTATAAACTCTATTTCAACCCATATTAAAATCTCAAGAGGATATTAAAAAGAAATTAGAACCTAAACAAATTCAACAAATTTACGAAAGAGCATTTCACCAATCGTTGATATAAAAGGTTTATTGTTTAATGGATTTAGAATAAGTTTTAGTAAATTTCACCCTTCGATACAAAAGACTTTATATTTACATTAACAGAAGGATTAATAGATTTAATGAATGGCGAGGATGTTGAGATTGCCAAACGCAAGGATTTAGAACAATACTTAAAATTTCTGAATATGATAAGGACTAAGCGCAAAACAAAAAGATTGGATAATGTTGATGAACATATAAAAAAAAACTTATTGCTCGTGAATACGAAGTTGATGAAGTTGATGAAGCAGATGATGAAGTTGATGAAGCAGATGATGAAGTTGATGAAGTTGATGATGAAGTTGATGAAGTAGATGATGAAGATGATGAATCAGATGATTATGGAGAAAATTATCCACCAATCACAGAACAAATAGACGAATTGGAAGAAGAGATAGCTAGAGAAAACAGTGGACAAGGTATAACGTTTTTATCCGACAACAACGAAGAATTGCTTAATAGATTACGAGTAATATTAGCGGCAATGAAAGAAGGTCATCGATCACACAGTCAATATAATGAAGTAAATTGTATATTAAAAAGACTCCTAGATAAAGGTATCATAGATAAAAATGATTATAAAAGCGTGATTAAAAATGTCAAATAAAGAACAACTATTCGTCATCACCTCAAATAAATCAGACATTGAATTATCTCTAGATAATGAGTACGAACTCGATCGCAATCAAGAATATGAATTGGGATTAAAGTATTTTTCTGTTTACAATTCCATTAGAAATATCAACGAAAAAAATAACCAAATAAAAATATCAACAGATAACGGAGCTACGTTCAAAACCATACGTTTACTACCAGGAAGCTACAAATACATAGCCATTAACGAATACCTTTCTGAATATGGAGGAAATGTCAATGGTAAAAACAAAATTGAATTCGAAGGTAATTTGAATCTGAACAAAATAAAATTGATATTAAGAAATAATAGTCAAGTTGATTTCAACGTAGAAAATTCATTGAATACGTTACTAGGATTTGATAAACGAGTATACACCCAATCCACTTAAGCACCACACAAAGCTAATATTGAGAATGATATCGATGTTATAAATATACATTGCAATTTAATAAACGGTGGATTTTTCAATAAATACAAACGTCAGATTCTTTACAGTCTTCCAACATTCACTGTTCCAATAGGATATAGAATTATAGAGAAACCATTTCAAACGACGTATTTACCACTTAATTCCTTTATGATTAAAGATATAAATCTTGAAATTAAAGATGGTAAAAATAGGTTTATAGATTTTGGTAACGAGGAAATTGTTATTCAACTTCATTTAAAACAAAAAAATTAACACTCTTCATTCTCTTCGTGAATAGTTAGATAATCGAAATCATCAAATTCGTAGTTTTCATCTATTCTATTCTTTTCAGTCGTAAGGATACATGATTACTTCACTGTTTGGTGTTTTTCTCTTAACGAGATTTAGATAACTTCTAAAAACTTTCTTTTGTTTATCATCTGGAATAACTACTCCATTAGTGAAACTTTTTACCCAAGGTTTCTTAAATTCAAGTCCACTAGCTATCGAATATAATCTTCTACGGATATCTTATCTTTAGAGTAACCCTTAAACGTTTTCTTTTCTTTTAAAACACCATCGGAAGTTAGAAGGATATTGTATTTAAATTTTGGCGCTAAATATAAACCAAATATAATTCCACCATCACCATAATCATTCTTTCCTTTACAATAATCATTTTCGGATACCAACCCAGCTTCATTTAATTGATCCCAATTGCTAGACGAAATGTATAAACTATCGGTATCCCTATAGTATATTTCAGGCTTATAAAATCCATCTATCACGCGAATAAAATTATTCATTATTTTTTTACTGTGAGATAAAACGAATGATCCCAAATGACTAGGTGTTAGTCGTGTAGATTTAGGAGGAATAAATTCTTTTTCTTCTTCATTTATCTCAACTATATATTGACTATCATTTACTTTTTCATAGCTTTTGACGTGTGAATCGTAGTTGGCTTTTAAAGTCGCTTCACTCCATTGATGTCTCGATGTATTTATATCCTTCTGAATAGATTTACTATACAACGAATTGCCTGATAATTTCATGCAATTACTACCTACGATATTACCTACTCGTTTATATTTATTTCTTAGATCTCTCAAAATTAAAATATAATCTCTATAGGGTGGAGTTTTAAAATATTCTTCGTAAACTATACCATCTAATATTTTAATAATTCGTCCACCGGCTTTCACCATTTCTTGAATATCGACCGATGTTAAAACGTCGTGACAGAAACCATTTCTGAATCTGATTTTAGTGCCAGTTTCCTTTTTACCTTCTTTATTCGTGAAAGTGATTTTATCTTTAGCTGGTATGGGTTGGAAGAACATGTTTTTGGGATACTCAAACCACACTGTTAAAATAGCAGTTCTAGGTCTGAATTTCTGTTCATTAAAGAGCTTGACAAATTCTTTATTTTCTTCCGGTAGAAATGGTCTACCACTTTCCGCTCTCAGATATACGCTATCTAAATCAGACATGGCGGAAGTGTACAAACCGTGAGCGTCAAATGCCATCAGTTTAGTACATTTTATTTTTTTAAGTCTCGATTGAACCTCCGTTTTATCTTTCGTGCAAGCGCTATATTCTTTGAATAAATCAATTATATTATCAGTGTCACTTGCATTGTATTCCTATAATATATTACAAATTTCATCCATTTTATTCGTTTCAAATGATTTTCGATTTGCCGAAACTCTTCCTCCTTTAATACTTTGTCCGATAAAATATCTTATAAAAGGGTGAGTATGTGAGTAAACTTTTTCTACGTTTTCTTTTTCGGTGTGTTTCGGAACCATTCTAGTACTTTCATACCATTCTTCTTCAACCATTTCTTTATCGTAATGATATAAATAATACCAACCCTTTAAAGATAAAGAAGGAGCCGTTAGATTATTGGAAATATTCTGAAATACAACTTCTTTCATTGCTTGATTGTATTTATCAAACAAGCTCCGAGACATAACGTATCTCTTTTAGCGTAAGGTTCCCTTTCGTGTCTTAAAGATTCCCAATTATCTTTGGTGTATTTTGCAATGTTTACATCCTCGATCTTTCTCAAATTCATTGGTAGATTAGATGAATTTCCCCATGCTGCCAAACTAGATGATTCGTGTTGATAGGAACATATGAAATTAATATTTTGCAAAAAATTAGAGTTACCCTTTATTTCTTTCTGTCTTTTCCATTTTTTCTGTAAATCTTCATCGGTGAATGAATTAGTTAAAAGTAGAGACAGAATTCGTCTGGGCGTTTTTAAAGGGCATTGTGTTAGTTTTTTTACGTTTTTGATCATGATCCAGTTATCAAAAACCGCTAGCGTTATGAGCGATTATTAATATTCTTTTTTGATCTATTTTTCCTAAACGTTGTAACATTTGATCGATGCAATCTGTACCTACAAATATTTCTACTATATTAGTCATGAGTTTGTTGTAAAATTCTTTTGGAATAGGATCTGTCGGCTTTAAATCTGGAAAGAGATTATTTATTCTGTTTAACATTTTTCTTAGTTTTTCTAAATTAATCAACGTACAAGAATAAGGTATGGCTTTATTTTCGTTATAGGTTTCGCAATCCCACGCGTATAAACAATCATCGGGAATGGTTTGAAAAACATTTAGTTTTAGAGGTGAAACTTGCGTTACCGCAGTATCATCTTTACAAGTTCTCCGTACATTTTCATCGTAATTATCTTCTATTTCTTTAATGCCTAAGGTTTTGTTATCTCTTCTAATGAGATAGAAATCTTCTTTATGTAAATAAAAAACCCAATCTAATTCTTCGGATACTTTCTTTGGTTGAAAATGTCTATGTTTGGGCATATAAATTTGAAAATAAGTATTAAATTTCTTATTGAATTCGCAGATTCTAGCAGATGTCATAACTCCTTTTCTGTTTGATTTTGAAAAACTGTTGATGAAATCTTGAAAATCTCTCATGTAGTCTTCGTTTAAAACACGATTAACGCACTTTACAAAGCAGTATCCATCGCTCGGTATATAACAATTTATACCGATATATTCATTTATTTATTCTTTTTATTTCTTTGAAATTGTTTTTACGGAAAATCATTTTTCCTGTGAAATACCAATCAGAAGCATCCGATTTATTATCCACAGCAGTGAAGAAATTGACAAAAACTTTTGGTATTAAAACCTACAAATTTCATGTCTTGTGTGTATTTTCCATCTTGAGTTATCTCTCCATCTATTTCAATTTGCCCTTTAAATGTTATAAATTCATTAGAGATAAGCTTAATAACATCGTAAAAAAGTTCATTTGATATGAATTTTTCATCGTCTAAAATTTCAATTTTATTCATATTTTTAAAGCAACTATTTTTAACTAGGAATTTTTAACTTTTATTGATGATATTTCTACATCAAATTTATCTAAAATTTCATTGAATTTTTCTAATTCTTCAACTGTTATGTTCTTGTCTTTCTGATAAAGCTACTTTACTAAAAATTCGCATATTTACTAAGAATATTTGTTCTTTCAAATCATTAACCTTATTCAGATGAACTGAAAATTTTGGTTTACTAATATTTAAATTCATATCAACAGATGCATCATCTCTTTTTATTGGTATCAAAACATTTTGTTGTTGTTGACTTTTATGAATATCGATTGAGGTTAATATATCATTATCAACAAAATATAGTTTTACGTATTCAAAGTATGTTGCTCGTAAAAACTGATAATTGATTAGTTCTTTTTGTGGTTTTGGATTTCTAATAATACTTGCTGATGGTGGAGTTTCCGTTTCCAATAACATATCAAAATTACTCAACATAAGTTCATCTTCTTCATTATCTGGTATGATTAACATTTTAAACCTATCTATATATTTTCCACTCGTTTTAATTTCATATAAGTGAAGAAGCTTGCTGTTTTCATTGTTAATTTCTAATTCTTTAGTTTCTACATTTTTTGTACCATTGATAAACTGAAGAACTTTACGAGCGTTAGATTTTTTATTAGACATACGTGAGTTTTGTCTGAAGACTATTGAATCAACTTTTACCTGAAAAGGAAAATGAATTTCAATTATAAGTTTTCCTCGGAAATCAAAATATATTGATTGATAAGTTTTATCATCTGAATCAAAAATATTATTGGGGTAAATAGAATAATTTGGAACAGAATATACTCTAATATTTGCTGCGAATCCATATTTTTTCAAATCATAATCTTTTGATTTATCAATATTATCAGTAATAGAAGAAACATCATCAAAAGCTTCAAATGGAAGATTGAAATAATATGATTCTTTCTTGAGAAACTTTGTTTTCTAATGCGACTATATTTTTGTCCTGTTTCAAAACTAGGTTATTTATAGTGGTTATCTGTTGTTGAATAACACTATCATCAATGTTCTGTATTTGTTGATGAATATAGGTCTTGATTTCGCTATCATCTATGTTTTGTATTTGTTGTTGAATATAGGTTTTGATTTCGCTATCATCTATGTTTTGTATTTGTTGTTGAATATAGGTTTTGATTTCGCTATCATCTATGTTTTGTATTTGTTGTTGAATATAGGTTTTGATTTCGCTATCATCTATGTTTTGTATTTGTTTTTTAATATTTGTTAGTTCTTTTTGTAATTCACTGTTAAGTTTAGTTTCCAGAGCATTTAATTCCTGTTGAAACGTATCTTCATTTTCATCTGGAATGTTATCTATTAATTATTGAATGTCTAATTTTTGTTTTGCAATAAAACTTATAAATCTTCGTACCTCTTGTTGTAGTTTAGTATCATTAACAAAATTTTTAATTTTCACATTACTTATTTTATCTTCTAAATGGTTTTTATTTACTTCAATTGAATTTATTTGTTCCCGTAAATATTTCTTGTGAACGGCGTCATTATCGTTTTCCGGAGACTTTAAATTAGTTATGGTAAAATTGTTCATATCTAAATCACCTTGAAGTGTGTCTCCAATTTGATCCACGAAGTACGGTTTTGCTTTATTTATCCACGTTGTAGTGTTAGGTTTTTTAGTTTCTAAAGATAAAGAACCTAATCCAAACTTGTTCGCCATTTTTATTGAGTTAAATTTATTACAATTTCTTCAAACTGTTTTCCTAAACTCAACTGATATAAAACCCAAAGTGAAAGCTGACTACAAAACTTTTGTCCCGGTAATTGAATTTGAAAGGAAGAACATTTGATTGGATTATTAGTCAACTGCATTATCTCTTCAGTGGGTTCTAATCCATAAGAATCGAAGAAATATAAGTCAGAGTCTTTGTACAAAGCAGAATGATGATCACCTTTTTGATCGGAAGTATGTATATTTGTTATAGTGTAAAATTTACCTTTCTTATATTTCAGATCATTTATTTCATCTCTCATACAATAATAAAACGGTGATATATTTAACTCATTCGCCCATCTCATAAGTTGAAAGTTTGTGGTTGTATCGGTTCCATATTTATCGAGAAATTCGTTCATTTTTAAAAGTCGTTTTTTTTTTTAAATATATACGTAGTTTGTGTTTGAAATTGTATTACATTCTGATAAAACACATTCAATAATATTTTGAACATAAATTTAAATTTAAGAAAGCAAAAATACTTGTCTACATCTCATAATCTTCTATCAAATTCTTCATCATTCATTTTTAAAAGTCGGTTTTTTGAAGTTCATTTTGATAAAACCTACCTATGATTTGTTCTTTGTCTTGATCGATTAATTCATATGTCGGAGGTGATGTGCTGTTTACTTTATCAACGATGAATATTTCGTTCGTATCCAACAAACCTTTTTCGAATTTGCTTTTATATTTGAAAATACGAACTCGATCTCCAACTTTAAATTTGGGTTTGATATTTAAATTCTTTATTTCATTTTCGTAGTTATGTTGCGCGTTAATTGACTTTATAATATTTGGATTACTCGAGGCTTGTGTTGGTGTGACACCTATAGATGAATGAATTTTGTTATTGTATTCATCTATAACCTATGGTAATATTTTAAGCCATTTTTGGGATTTCAATTCCGTGAACTTTTTGAATAATTTATTTTTTAGGGTTCTGTTAAATATTTCTATTACTACAGCTTTACCTTTATTATGCGTACTGTAAATTTCAAATCCCAGAGATTTCATATTTTTGTTATAAAATTCGCTTCCTTTATCTACCCACAGTGTTTCTGGATGTCAGTTAGATTGTTTCATAATCGTTTCAAATGCATGTTTGACTGATAATCCCGTTTTATTTTTCAAAGGAATAACCCAAGCATATCTCGTATACAAATCTATAACTGTTAAGCAATATTTAAATCCTCTTTCGACTGGCATATGAATTAAATCAGCTGACCATATTTCATCTTTTTCAAACACTTTTACTTTTAAAAAGTTTTTAGTTTTTAGTTTTTGTAAATTCTTTTATGATTAATGCTCTTTGCATTCTCTCTTTGAAAGTTGGATTTGGAATATTTTCAAGTTCGATTATCATTTGTCTGTCTGCTTCGTGTCTGAAGTTTATGTCTTTGTTTCTGTATAAAATATCGTGTTTAAGCGCAGCGGCGTCAACTCTATTGACTGGTTCTTCCCCTGGTTTGGGTTTATCGTTTTCGTCTAATCGCAAATCTAACCTAGTACCTGGACCGGTGTTATTATGACCTGGAAGATGTTTTTCTCCGGGATATTTCGCCCATGGAAATCCAGGAAGAGAACCCAATGATTTTTGTATATCTCCTGAACCGAAATAAGTTTTTTCCTTTCTTCTAATCTCCTGTTTCGAAGTTCTCTTATTAGCTGTAATTCTTTCAACTCGTTGGATTGTTTCACTGCGTCGCTTATACTCTTTCCAGCTTGTGCGATTGAGCCAGCGGCTTTCGCTCCGGTTGAAAGGAGTGATTTGTTGTTTGAAATAAAGCTAGTTACTTTTGGAATTATTTTTGAACCTAGAGAAAATATTTATGAAAAGATACCGTCACCCGAATAATCTTCGAATCTGAGTTGTTCGTGTTTTAGAATTAAACTCATCCTATTTTTAAATGAATTAATTTAGTCTGTTTTTTTATCCAAAAAAGAGTTATCTCCCTTTTCTAGACTAAAAATAACATTACTTAAAACGAGGCTATTAAAAACCGGATGTTAAGCGAAACAAGGATGCTATTTTATATAAGGGTATTTTTAATATGCTTTTATTTGATGGAATGTAGGAAATTGATTGAAGGTGTTTTTTTGGTGTAAGAATTTTATGAAATGTAGGATGTTTTATGAAATGTAGGGAATTTAGGTCTTTTTTAATGTAAGAATTTATGAAATGTAGAATGTTTTGCTGTAAGAATTTATGAAATGCAGGGAGTTTTTTTTTTTTTTTGGGAGTTCATAGATTGGTTGCATTTTTCCCATGAAATGAAATGGAATGTGGAAAAATGCGACCAATCTATGAGCTCATATACTACTATAGACATTTTTATCCTATAACTTTAAAACCTTTTCCTCGTTTTTCTAAAGCTCGTTGTTCTATTCTCTTGTTACGTAGTTCTCTTATTTGCTGTAATTCTTTCAACTCGTCAGGCTTTTTCACTGCATTGCTTATACTAACTCCCGCTTTTGCTATTTTTGGAATTAGAGAAGTTAGTGCTGAAATGAAACCTCCGCCTTCACATTTAATATGTGATTTGACTTTTTCGATTGGATTGCATTTTGTATAAATAAACCAATCTTAATCAATATTTATTTACATGAATAACGATAAAAGGTTACAAAACACAATAAGGATTTAGAAACAATCATAGCTTATTTTAATCTTTTTCCCTGAAGATGGAAAGCATATTTTCAAAAAGTATAATAAATACGAAAATATTTTAACTGGAATAAATGAAATAAAAATGAATAAATAAGATAAATCGGTCGTGATGAAAGGAAATGTAGTGGATAAGTACTCAGAAATAATTATTCAGATAAATGGCAGAACAGGGTCATTTTTATATGTAGAACATTAATTTAAATTTACACTTTAAATCGGTTTGATAGAATAATAAATTTCTCTCCTGTGTTAAAAATTTTATCATTAGCATTATTTTTCAAGTCCGGGTCGCCATACAACAGAATTTTGATATCAATGTTATGAAGAAGGGTATTTATGGTTTCTTGCCGTTCTGTTCTATACTTGGGACAGGTGTTGAAATAATGGTAAGAATCTTCTTTTGGGTTACCACAGGAGCACTTGGGATCTTCTGAAATATGGTAATTTAGTTCACTCTTTAAAGGTCTGGTGCCACAGAAGAAAATAGTACGGGATTTTAGGATTGTTTCTTTTCAACAGACGTTTAAACGAAATAATGGTCATAGGTATTTTATAGTTGTCAGGTAGTGCATTCCATTCGATGATGGTTGACGGAAGGAAAGAGTTTTTATATTGGTTCGATATTGCATTTGATAGGACGATAATTATTGCTATTTCTTAAGTTGTGAGTTGTGATGTCATTTATTTTAGGTGGAAGAAGTGAATAAAGATAAGATGGCACCATGTCGTTGATCATTTTGAAGAAAAGGCATAGACGGTGCTTTGTTCGCCTTACTTTGAGAGAGGAAAAACCAGATTCTTTGTACACTAATTCATGAGATGTTCTGCGAACTAATCCTGTAATTGTCCTTAGTGCGTCTAGATGAAGATTTTCCATAAGTTTGGAGTTTTCTTCCGAACAGTTGTCCCACACTACATCGGCATAGTCGAATTTCGTTAAATTAAATGATTCATAAATAGTTTCTAATGAAGAACGGGATAATCTATATTTCAAAGTTTCAAAGAAGTCAACATGATTTCGGATTTTTCTTGCCATGGATTTTATATGTGTAGACCAATGACCAGTGGAATCAAACGTAAGACCAAGTTGCTTATGAGAATTAACATCAGACAAAGTTGAATTTTGAAATTGTAGGGTAAAGGAGGATGGATGTTTTTTCCTGCTGAAAGTAAGAGAATTAGTTTTTGAGGCATTGAAAGATACTTCCCAGTCTAAGGCCCACTGGTTAATAGATTTTAAGTCATTTTCCATAATATGCTGACAGGTCACAGGATTTTCAATAATAAGGTACAAAGAAGTGTCATCTGCAAACAGTTGAATATTGGTATCTATATCATTGACTATTTCATTTACATATACATGAAAGAGTAAACCGACCCCTGTGGAACACCAAATGAAACCGGTAAGGGGGTTGAAAACGAGTTTTGTAGTTTTACATATTGAAATCTGTTAGATAAGTTATCTCGAATAAGTTTTAATGGATTCCAGTTTGATGGAGTTTGAAGATAGGACCCCCGTGCCAGACTCTATCGAATGCTTTACTTATGTCACAAAAGTCAGAGTCAGTTGACGGTATCTTAATGAATTGACTTGAGAAGAATTCGTTTAGGAGCGTTGCTTTCTCCGTAACGCGTAGAAGATATGATTATTAGATTGTAAGGGCGGGATGAAGTTTGCCCTGCCATTTTTGCCAAATCCGAACTTTCTTACTAGCTCCCACCTGCAGTTTGACTGTTTAAAGGTGCCGTCCGAAATTTTTGAATCAAGTTTATCATAGTATTCTTTTTTGATACGCCTAACTTCTGAAATGACAAAATTACGTGATACACGAAAAGAATGCCAGTGCTTCAGCAAATTTGTTCTTTTGGCTCTCTGGTGATGTCTCTTTCTAGTTCTCATAAGTCTTCTGAGATATCCATTTATGTTTGTCAACTTAGTCAAGTGCAAAGGAAAACTGTTCTTCAAAGAGGCCCCAGGAAGCGATTCTTGTTCGCGGACTTCTATAGAAAGTACCTAAAAGATAACGAGTATTCTTGTAATCTGTAACTTCAATCCAACAAGATTCCAGATCAGGGTGATTCAAGTCGGGAAGTCAAGTGAGAATAAATTATTCGCTACACCACCATAACCATCCACCCTATTATTGAGAATGGGCTCTTTATATCCATCTAAAAGTATGCATTTTCCGAGAGAAAGCCAAGTTTCCGAGAAACAAAGAATATGGTATTCCAGCAGTTCAGCTTTAATCTCAGTAATGGGGCAGACAAGACTACGGACATTTAAATGTAACAGTTTCAGTGAATGCGTAGGTCCAGGATTCGGGTGAATGTTGAAAAGAAAGTTGTATTGTATGTACGAAGTACGTACAGAGAGAGGTCAAGAACAGAAGACGTGAAGAGAACAAGTGTAATTTCATCAAGAACAGGCTACCGCAAGAGACGCTAGAAGACACCAGGAAAGAGAAGAGTAATAAGACCAAACTTGGAGCTTACAGCAAAATAAAAGAAAGAGAAAAATAAAATAAAGGGCAAAAAAAGTAATACATTATGTACAAAAAACAAAGCTATATACAACTTACGAACAAGCGTGGTCGTGGGTATAACGTTTGTGTGATGTTAGGAGAGGCTTAGGACAGGCTTCAGTTTTATTTCAATGGACAGTTGTTTCATATTGAATGTATTTACAAAACAAAAGTGAAATTGAGCGATTTGTATGTCTAAATGCGTACTATGTGAAACTCATATATCACTGGCATCACAAATCTCTCATTATGAGTATCCGCTTTCTAAATTGGCATGATATATAGCTATCATTATGGGAAGCCTGTCAATAAATTATCAATTTAATCAATATATGATTTACTAATAAAGAAAAGCATGTTTTTTTTAGTTAGAACTTTCATTATTTTTTCATTTGAACAAGTGCATCCGTCGGCATATTCAGGGGTGGCTATTAGGCTATGGCTCTCCCCTCGGGCGTTTGAAAGGTTCAATTTTGAAGTGAAAATAAAGCCCTTTAAATTCTCAAAGTTCATGTCAAGTTGTCTGAATTTCGTTGGATTCTGATAGCCCTTGGTAGCCACCAGACCCCAGTCCTCAACGGGCTTCGACACTTCCTGCCTCGCCTCGGAAAGATAGGTCTCATTTTGGCAACCCTCCCCCTAACCCTGTCGCATTTTTTATGTCGAATAGACATAAAATATTATAGTCAAGAAACGATATAAGTTTTTTTTATTTTTAGATAGTTTTTAACACGGTCAAGGCCTGGTTTATTCTACTGGCCCTTTACAATAATGCACTGTTCTTATTCATATTTTAGATATCTTTACTTTTTATACTCGACAAATCCAAACAACCTTGTTTCAAAATTATGTTTATCTGTGGAAGAAAATTATCAGATTAGACTTCCAATATCGATTCTTAGCTAGGTTTAACCAGAAACATCTATACCTGCATCAACACGTCAAGTTATGTAAATAAGTGAAAATATCATTGGCGATTCTGGCCAAAAAACCTTAACTTAGATTGGAACCAGTTACAAAAACGTTGAAAAGAACCTCCAGATTCGTCGAGACCCAATCTGGAATTTACAGCCCTCCTGTAAGCTTCACCATCCACTTTACTTGCTTCTTTTCGACGCATTTCAGCCTGTGAAATATGTTTTAACTGAGCATTATCAATCCTAGTAGGAGATATGGGGTTATTAAATCTGGAATTAATATAATTTAGTAGGTCATCTCTATTTTTCTGGCTGTAGCTTTTACAATTCAAAATGTAATATGGTGGTAGACTGGGTAGATTTTGGGGAAATATGAATTGTCTGCCATCATTGTCTTGAAAATCTTTACCAGTAAAAACATACATCAGTTGATCCGATATTTCTCCACCAAATAAATTTGTAACAAATTCCCAAGCCTTGTCTTCAGATCCTGAAAATCTGTCGTCAACACTCAGCACCAGAATACAAACATGAATCGAAGTTAATCTCCGCTTTATTGTACTGATGATATCGTTAGCAGTTTCTACATCAGAACGAAGTGAGCTGAAGAAACCAGGAGTATCTACCACCAGAAGTTGGTCTGATTCTTCAATTTGACATGTTTTAGTGCCTCTTTCTTCCATCATACTGGCAGCAAACTTCTTCTCACCCAATAGAACATTTCCTACTGAACTTTTACCAATTCCACTTTTACCAAGTAATAAGACTGTTCTCTTCTTCAATGGTACATTCTCTGAAATATGAAGAAAGCCATGGACTAGAGAGTATAGATTTTTAATATCTGCGTTTATATAACTATTGATGTATTGGGATACAATAAACTAATATATACTAATATGATATAGGTACCTTTTCGAGCCACCTTCGATTCTCCAGCGGAAATACAGTCTGCGTCGCTTTTCCTACAATGAGAGAATTCAGAACCCTTATCGTACACATTGTTGAAACTTATTGTGATATTGTGTAGAAGAGTAGAAAGTACAACTATCATTTCATTTCATTTATTATTGTATGATGATTCTATGTGGATGGACTTATCAGTTTCACTATTTAGGATTGCTGAAAACATCTATGAAGCCTGCAAATTCTTGTTTCTTGACAGTGAATTTGAACGACTTCCAAAACATTATGATCAAACCAGTATTAACTCTCTCATATACCTCAATCTAAGGCCAAATAATAAATCAGAAATCGCTTACCTTTTTTTGGTAGTGGAGTTTTCAATGAAAGAATGTCCTAGCTTCTCGTAAGTTAATTTAACAGACTGGATCATTTCAGAAGAGCTGTTTACATCAGTATGTTCCCTAGCAGCAACTCCCATTGGTGACGTTGCCAGACGACTGAGAAAATTGTTTAACTGCTTTGGTAATTTTTGTATATACTCATCCAGTGTCTGACCTTTGTCTTTCAAATTATCCATACCAGTAAACACTACAAGGACATGTTTGTTGAGATACATATCGAATACACTCTGAAAGTTTTCAATTCTCTTGATGTCATCACCAGTTACCCTCTCCGATAAACTAAAGACAAAGATAACACAATGTGGACCAGGGGCAAGTAACTCCATTCCTCTATCAATTTCTTTCTGAGTTTCCTCTTCTGTCAGGCGAATATTATAATAACCTGGTGTATCAACTATAACAAGTTCTCTACCATCTTCTAGTGTACGTCTTGCTAACTGGCTCTGTTGTGTTCCATCGGTATTGCTCACTGTAAAAACTTTACTTCCAATCAGTTGATTCCCCACTGAACTCTTTCCACTTCCGCATTTGCCCACAAGTAGAACTCTGATCTCCTTGGAAGTTTCTTTTTCCATAGTTTCCAATCAGATATAAACTAAATAAGACAAATAAAAAAATGTATAATGCAAAAAGGACACACCAAAACATTATTTTTAGTATGGTATAGATATTCCAGATGGGTTACATTGTATACTCTTTGAATTTTGTCGTACATTGTAGTCGACGTGTTTAAACTTTGGTGGAACATTTCAGAAACTAGAAAACTCGGTACAACTCCGATGCTGAAAAGAGTAAAGTACGCCCCATTGATATAACCATTGCAATAATCAACCTCATATTTATAAATATCTATATTGCTCATTGACATTATCATGATCATGAACTCTGAATTGTGTCCATATTAAGGGCAATAATTGACATGCATCTTGATTGAGTTAAGAAACGTAATGTACACAATTCTTTTATCAAATGCCATTCTAGTGTGTCGTTTCTTTGGTGTTTACATGCAAAGGGTAATAATTCAGAAACAACCCGATGAAAGGTCGAAGTCGATGGGATTAGTCTGATGACAACATTAACATAATGTGATTCTTAGAATCGTGGATGTTTATTGGACGAAATATTGATATTCAATACGAGAAATGTACCAGTATAAACAATTTTAAAGCAATCCAGTAAAAACCGATATGGAGGATGGAACCCTGTAGTTTATTCGGGAGCCGTGGTGACTTAGTGCTCATCAATGACTTTGATATGTTAGCTGAATAAATATTTACATGATAAAAAGATATGAAACCTGATTGCTAACCTCAAGTTCCATGGTTCATAGGTGGGATAACATCTTCAGGTTTTTCAACCCGGTTTCCCCCGTCAGTGAGGTAAGGAGGTAAGAGGGGCTTTTGGCAAAAGCGTCTAGTCGTTCGTATGGGACAATAAACCGAGGCCCCGAGTGATACAGGCTGTGCAAGATAAAGATCTCTAGACAGTTTGAGATCGAAACATAAATACGATCATGTCGCTGTCCTGACAATATTTCCCCCATTGCACACTGGTACGAACATCATTCTATCACTAATGAATTATGCTCGCGTATTCAACGATTCTAAGAAACGGAGTAGAATGTTAATGTAATAAGGTGAATCACGTGTAGTAGAGCCATTTCAGTGAACGTATTGCTATTTTATGTCGTGTAGTGTAAAAGATGGATATTTATACCAGGAAGTGTTGTTAGCCCACCATTTTAGAAACCAAACTGCTAAGGGTTTTTATAGGACACTTAACAGTCGTTCCACCTGCTGAGCACCTTCGACATTTCTATATTGTTAAACTGCATCGGTGAAAATACCCTTTCCTCTACCGAATTTTCCCTTGACTACGATGAATCAATAAAGAGTTATATATATTTAAGCTTACCGTTCTTGATAATAGTCCTTAGTATAACACTTATCAAACCTTCAACAACTAAACAACACAGAGACACATAGACAAGTTAGACGGGCTAATACATATTCATAACACCGCCTCCTTTTGATAATGTACTGTAATAGCAATAGGGAAACAACTGTTATCATTGATTTCGGTTTCCCGACTACAAGCATTGATAGCTATATAAATTATATAAATACAATGATACTGCTAGTTCTTTTTTTTTAATTTATAATTTCGGCAATTCATTTCGTCAAAGAAATGTTGGAATCGTAAAACCTTAATACCAGACAAGGTTCTGGCAAGCTCTTGTGTAAGTGTAGATAGGTATCAGTTTCTTACCTAGATAATTAAATACACCTCAATATCTGACTTAAAATGGTTTGCGTGTGAAGGGGCGATTCTCTCCCTCATGCTGTGCTGGAGTTATACCCCAATTGCATTACCAGTCATAGCATTGCAGATAAAACCATTGCAATTAGGACAAATCTCTACGCTGCAGAATTTCATAATCGGGTGTTTGGTCTTTTTTTAAACTCTTTAATTTTTTCATGGAAATTTAATACTTATATATTTACAAAAGAGATCATAAATTGCCCCCTGTGTCGAGATGAAGTTGATATTTAATAAGATTGTCGTGACATGTTTATAAAAATTAAAAATGTCGCCATGCTCTGATGCAAGATAAAAATTGGTACACATATTTCTTAGAAACCTACCGTTTTCAGAGAATTTACCTCTCTTGATCAGTCGTATTTCACTGAAATGTAATTGTTATCGTCCTACAAACATTTGAGGACGTTCACAAAGAACTCTCGGATGATGTGAGGGTATAATCATCTATTTAAATATTTCTACAAATACAGTATAGTTCAGTGAATAGTAGTATATGAATAATAATATAAATACAATATTTATAGAGCGCATTATATAATAACAACAATTACTCAATACAAAGCACCGACGAATACAACAAAAAATGCATCAGTTTATATTGGCAGCGGTAATGAATGGTCATCTTCAGGTGAAGTGGGGAAATATGTAGATTGTTGAAACGTAGTGTATAATAAAACTAAGGAGTAGTATACCATAAAATTGTGTCCGTTATTTAATGTGATCTCTACCTCTAAATGTCGCTAAAGGATTAGTATAAATCATATATTCTTCATATTGTCCACATTAGTTTTCTACGCATACTGTATTTGCAAGTTATACTATATTTAATTAATATTGGTGAAAATTGAAAATTTCAAATCTCTTCAAAGGACAACATGAAAATATCATGTGGATCAAATGGCCAATGGCCTTAACATCACGTCTCCATCAGAACCTATAAAAAGTCATGTGTATCAAACACTTGCCCAAATCAGACTGTTCCTAGATTCCCGGATTTCGATTCAAAACAGGTAAATTGTTCAATTGATTAGGGTGTTGGGGCAGTTGAACAACTCCTTCCCATTGGTCTCAAATCCAGTGGCATTGCGAGCCTCTTGAGTCTTGGGGTACAACAACCCTTGGGTTGAATTGAGCCGCACTTTTGCTATGGAATTTCTATTTATGGACATACAATATTAATTTATTGACAAATATGCATTTTATATGAATGCCTATTTTCTCTTCTAGAAATAAGATTTTCCATTGATTTGTCTTTATTTCGTGACCACCGCATTTAAAACACAGACTACATATTCATGGTTTTGTAGGACTATTATAATAGCAGAAGAAGACAAAATAAGCAATATCATACTGCGACTGTAGAAGGAGATCCCGGGGAAGGGTCTTCCTAGGGGTAAATGTAAGAGGAAAAAAAAGAGATATGAAATGTTTTGGGGGAAACGATTTAAATGTTTTGGAAAGTCTTCCACTGGGATCCCCTTCCATAATCGCAGTATAATATTCCCGGGAAACAATGCACGTTTTTTTTAAAATCCGGGGGTTTGAAAATTCTAAACCACTTTTAAGAGTCTTATATAACTAAAACAGTAAATTTTTAAAATCGTTCCCTAAAAATCTTCCTACCTAAAAAATCTTAAAGATAATGCAATTTCAGACATCAAATATCAAATCTAGACCAAAAATTACTCAAAAATAGGAATGCAAAAACCCAAAAATGAAGAGAGAAAGAAGATTTCGAAAAATAGCCTAGACTACAATCGTTTGCATAAAATGTTTTAGTGGAGTGAGTTCGTTAGTGGGAGGAGTTTCTTAGATCGCGCGCTCATGACTTATCAACATACGATCATATACTCACAAACGTTTTACCTTAGGTAAGGTGTTTCTCCTGCATTTCAATTTACTAAAGCAATCTATATTGTAAAATAAGTTGTTGGTTTCGTGGCCCAATTTATCCACGTATCTATCGACATTATTTTTTTGGTGCAAGTCATTTCTTATATATGTAGAAAGTATATATTTTGATATTTCTATTGTCGTTTCATAATCCTCTAAGAATTAAAAAGCTGTTTGGAATCAGGTGTCAATTGTGCTTTCGTATTGTTAGTATCATGAGACCTTGAAAGTTTCAATTTACACAAACAATTTCACTTCTCCTAACTTTTCTTTTTTAGATCTCAAATCTGGTTTGGTAACATCCACCACATCTTCATAAAGACGCACAAATACAACACGATGGAAACAGGTAACTTTGAATTTTGTACTCTTTGTTCGGGTTGTGGTCCACATGCCTTATTTGGTATAGCTATGCAATAAATTTATGGTTATGCTTAACAGTTTGTTTTATTTGTATTTTGCCTGCTTATAGAAAGCATTCAACTTCTTGGTCAAAGCCATAGTGTTATATCATAAAGCTTATTGCAGTTTTCTATACGCCAAAAGGCCACTGTTAAAATGTTTTATGAATATCGGTTGAAAACAATTTGAGATCAAGTATTCTATATATGAAAATAATTGCAAACTGACCTATTCGTAGCTGGTGGCTAATTTTCAAATATCAAAGTCAACATACCATTTATTTTTCAAACTGAAGGTGTGATAGCTTTTTTAATTATTGGTTACAAAAATAAATCTTATTAATTATTGTAAAGAGTATAATTTTGAAAAGGGAAGCATCATTTGGGGTCATTGTTATTGATTATGGGAAATATCAGCTGAGGAGGCCAATCAGAGGCCGCTAAATTTTCCAGGGCGGCCAAAGGTCATTCTCTCACTATGTAAAACGATAAAAAATTTGAAAGTGGTGAAAATTCTAGATAATATACATTATTTCAATCCCGGTATAATATCATTTTTTTTCTTACGTTGAATTGTGTATACCGTGTATACATATGGGTCAAACTAGAAAAACTATACCATTTTCAGATTTTGACTCAGGAATGTTAAAAAAGGTATAATAATAATCAGTGTGAAAACAAAATCGATTACTTTTAGCCACGCAATAAACATTTAAAATTATACTATTAGTGGGATCATTAGAATACTCCCATTCCAGGGCACCAGTAGTATATGTCAGACACACATACTTCTATACAATACAGATAAAATATATAATAATGCATTGAAATCGGAAAAGACTCACATACTTCTATACTGTTTTCGGACTACTCTTATGCAAATGAGCCTACAGTCTTACCAAATATGGCTACTCTATATTCTACAAAATAGACATTACATGCATTAAAATCGGAAAAGACACACCTACTACTATATTTTTTTCGGTCTACTCTTACACAAATGAGCCTATTATCAAGGAAGTCATTAGAAAATAACACCAGATATTTTTATAAATAGACTTGTCCTATTACTCATCGTATTTTGTAATGGGGATATTTTTAATAGTATGATTAAATGCATTACGGTGTATTTTTCTGTATAGTAGTAGGACTGTCTTTTCTGATTTTAATGCATTATGATGTATTTTGTCAGTATTGCATAGAAGTATCTGTGTCTTTTCCGATTTTAATGCATGTAATGTCTATTTTGTAGAATATAGAGTAGCTACACTTGGTAAGACTGTAGGCTCATTTGCATAAGAGTAGTCCGAAAACAGTATAGAAGTATCTGTGTCTTTTCCGATTTTAATGCATGTAATGGCACCCAAAGGTTATCTTGTACATAAATCAATATGAATTAAAACATCTTAATGATTTAAATGTCTATTTTGTAGAATATAGAGTAGTTCTATTTGGTAAGACTGGTATAGGGAAGAGTTCTGTAGGAAATAGTTTGCTTGGGAAGACAATCTTCCAATTTACTTCTTATGCGTCTTCCGCAACAGAGTGGTGTAAAATGGGAGAGGCTCAAACCTCAATTGGTAAATTGTTGGTGGTCGATACACCAGGTCTGTTTGATACAGATAAACCTAAGGGTGAAACAATTGAAGAGCTGATCAAATCTATTGCAGTAGTAGCACCCGGTCCACATGTATTTATTTTTGTTTTAACTGTGGCCAGGTTCACAGAAGAAGATATTAAAAGTGTGGATATTATGAAAAAGATTTTGGGAGAAGGCACTATGCATCATATTATTGTTGTGTTTACCAGAAAAGACCAGCTTGTAGATGATGGTGTTACAGAAGAGGAATTCATGGCCAAAACTCCAGGGTTTTTAAAACAATTACTGAAAGATGTCAACAACCGATATGAATTTATTTGTAATCGACAAAAGAACAGTAGTCACCAACAAGACGTAGAAAATGTCCTGTCACTCATTAAGAAAACAGTTGAACAAAACAGTGGTAACTTTTATACACAAGACATGTTCGAGGCTACAGAAAAGGTGATACAGCAAGAAATCCGAGAAAGTCAGAAGACAAGACAAGAAATTAAAACTGCTATTGTTAATAACGAACCAGGTATTTTGTCTAAAATAATTGATGGCGTCATTGAAATTATTAAAGTCTCATTACCCCATTTGATTACTACTATTGGGGAATATTTCCTGACAAGACAAAAAAGAATCATGTAAAATACTAACGATACAGGGCCGTAACTTCATGAAGGCAAATGAGATAGATTCCTCGTGCAGAATTTGACGAAAAATAAGAATAAAATAAGATGCATGAAAACTATAATTATTATATCCATTATAAGAACATCGTTTATTTGACGTCTATGGTACAGGTGATCTACCAAAAGTCTTTTGATGAAACACAACATATTATAATTTTTGCCTCATAGAAAAAAGACCCTAGTTACGGTCCTGATGCCAGATTCAATAGAAAAAGAATCAATAAAAATCACGTGGCCTCGTATACTCAGTTATATCCGCATTAGAATTTTTTCGTAGGTCGAAAACTATACATCAAAATCAAGCGGAATGTGTTGCTTAACGTTTCGAATGCGTTGGAGACATATTTCTTTACAGTTAAGTGTTTATTTTACTTAAATCCTTGTAGTAGTTTTCTAACAGCTTCCAAAAAAAAGCGTAACGAACTTTAAAAGTATGGCGTTCAAAAATTAACGGCTGGATTTTTTTAGTTAAAACTTTCTGGGGCCCATTTCATTTGACCTACAAAAAGGAATGCCCCTTTAACAAGTACTATTCCTTATTAATTAACCCTTTTAAGACAAATTCACTTTGATCAAGTAGATATATAGATAGCATATTTTAGAAATATTTTCAGATATCAGTGTTATTAATAATGACAATTTTGCATAATGCCCCCTTTAAATTGTAAAATAATTTTTAATTTTTTCCATTATGAAGGGAGTAATTATTGTTTCAACAATTTCGTCTGCCTATAAATTTGAAAAAGATATTGATTTTTTTCCCTCTCTCTCTTTCTCTCTTTTTTTTTTACTATATCGATATATTGTAAATTGTTGCCTATATATTATATTTGTTAATAATGTAAGTATTCACGGAAATACATCTAGTAGTATATTAGAAATATTAAAATAGAACTTAAAAAAAACATGTTGTTGTTACTCAGAGTTTCACGCTATGGGATCTTTAAATAACTGACCTATATAATTCAGCCTACATATCCTGAGAATGAAATCCACCGCTTTTGTGTAATAAACAATACCACGAATACAAACCATTCCTGGCGCTTTCCTCTTTATGTTATACCCCCGTCACAACAGACTTGCGATCTTACAGTCACTAGAAAATGCATAATGTCACCGCCAAAGAAAGTCTTTAAAAATCCCAAACTGTATTCAGTCGGACTTGTAGATTTCCAAATGGTCTACCTAATACATGAATGTAATATGGATATAGAGTGAGAGATGAATACATTCAACACATTGTTATTCAAATGAAGTCAAGGATAGATACTAATATGTTCATGCATACTGATGATTCTTAATAGATCGAAAAATATTTCTAAAAATAGTCACAAAGTTGCATTAATATTGACTAAACCTTGCTAACATGGCCTTCGCTCTTTGGATTACATATAATATACACATTCATTCCAAGTTTCAAAATATTTGTTCAATATTTAAACAAGATGTGACCAACATTTGTTTAACATGCCCTTTCTACACCATATTTACAATGGTCAAGGAATCACGGAGGTTTTTAAATGCAGTGGTTTGATTGGATTGTGCGCTAGCGAATACAGCCAATCTGAACCTCGACAGACGTCGGTAAATAATAAGCCTTGTTTATAGTCTGTCTGTCGAGAGGCTCTGAGTGGCTGTATTTGCTAGTGAACAATCCAATCAAATCGTGACACAATGCATTCAACATACAAGACAAGTTCGTAATAGCTTGACATTGTGAAGATGATGATGTGCAGATTGCCCAGCCCCTTCCCAAAACTCCTCTATGGAATATATCCACAACATCTAAAATAGAACCATAAAATAGTGGGTCAAATGGACAAAACATGTCACTGTGTTAATTCACACAATTTAACAAGTGTTGGAAATTTCCGATTTTCGGGGAATTCTCCTTTCTTGCTTAATCTTATTTTACTGATATGAAATCATTATCATCGTCCTACAAATATTGAGAAAGTTCACGAACGATGGTGTGAGGGTGGAGTCGTCACGTTTCTACGAACTATAGAACTTATAGAAATAACATAACACAATTTAAGTCAACAAATGTTTGAAATTTTCTGTTTTCGGGGAATTCCCCTTTCTTACTTAATCTTATCATTAACATTGAAACATATTGTGAAAGTTGACGAACGATAATTAACAAGTCAATTTCTCAGAATCGCGTAATTTCTCAGAATATGATTGATTATGTGCTGGAACATAATTCTTTATTTTATTGTTATTCAGTCAAACATTCTCGTTTCTTTATCATTATGTTACGTACATGTAGTTTATTGAGTTCATTGTGTCAACCGTTTACGTAACGGCGATAACTGGATAGAGAAATCAATTTTGCACAAAAAGAATGTGATTGATTATTTAGTTGTAATCAACTGGGTTAGGTGACATGATATTTTAAAGTTAGATAATTAACTGAAGGTTTTGAATTATAGAAATCAGCTTTATTCATTATTTATGTTTATTGTAGAGCACACATTTATGATTGTATAAATACATGCGTTTGTATTCAGTAATGATGCAAATTACAGTGACTCAGCTACCATAGTTGTACCAAGTCCACGAGCCCCTATTCCTAAGGTATGGAATACCAAAACGGAAAAAATCCAACATACAAAATCACATACCAAGAAGTTGGAATTTCATACCAAGAATTCCATATCAAGTACAATAAATTTTAATTATATACCAAAATCATTAGACTAATTTTAATTATGTTCTAAGAACAACCTGGTACTATAAATAGCCCAGTAAGAAGGGTAGGAGGGTGCTACCAGTGGACAATACCCTGATATTACAGGAGGCCCAGTTACAATACCTTGGCGTTTCAGGTGGCCTAGTAACAATACCAAGGCACTACCAGGGGTCTAGTAACAATAGTCCGGTTAAAACTATTGGCCTAGTAACAATAGACAAGTACTACCAGTGGCCCAGTAACAATACCCATGTACTACCAAGGATCTAGTAACAATACCCATGTACAACCAAGGGTCTAGTAACAATACCCAGGTACTACCAATGGCCCAGTAACAATAGCCTAGTACTACCAGTGGCCCAGTAACAATAACCTAGTACTACCAGTGTCCCAGTAACAATACCTATGTACTACCAAGGGTCTAGTAACAATACCCATGTACTACCAAGGGTCTAGTAACAATACCCATGTACAACCAAGGGTCTAGTAACAATACCCATGTACTACCAAGGGTCTAGTAACAATACCCAGGTACTACCAGTGGCCCAGTAACAATAGCCTAGTACTACCAGTGGCCCAGTAACAACAGCCTAGTACTACCAGTGGCCCAGTAACAATAGCCTAGTACTACCAGTGGCCCAGTAACAATAGCCTAGTACTACCAGTGGCCCAGTAACAATACCCATGTACTACCAAGGGTCTAGTAACAATACCCATGTACTACCAAGGGTCTAGTAACAATACCCAGGTACTACCAGTGGCCCAGTAACAATAGCCTAGTACTACCAGTGGCCCAGTAACAATAGCCTAGTACTACCAGTGGCCCAGTAACAATACCCAGGTACTACCAAGGGTCTAGGAACAATACCCAGGTACTACTAGTGGCCCAGTAACAATAGCCTAGTACTACCAGTGGCCCAGTAACAATTGCATAGTACTACTAGTGGCCCAGTAACTATAGCCTAGTACTAAGGCAAAAGGAATGTCGGGTTTAGGTATAACCATGAATTATGAATATTTTTTAATCAATGTTTACCTTTGTTAGCTGTTTGCAGCAGTATTATTGATAGTCTTTGTCAGTTGCTGCGAACAGTGGATTATTATTAATGTAAAAGACTTTGTTAGCTGTTCGTAGCAACTGACATTTACCTCTGAAGGTGGAAAGGCGCATTTGTTATGTTATAAGCAATTATAGCGACTAACAAATCAGCTAACAATAGACGGTTCGGGTCCTGAAGACAATTTGGCCACCTTTTCGCGTAGCCGTCGAATCGAGCTTAAGTAGTACCGCCGATTCAAAACTCAAAACTCGCCGAGTCAATACACTTGTAGACTCTTTCGTTCATAAAGTAACTGTTAATCCAAATGTTACACCAATTTTGCAAAATTGTGCCGATTGCCCCTGGTTGTAGTGTTAAAAGTGAACTCATTCGTTTGGAAAGTTCCGGTATTATTGAAAAATGTGATTCTTCACCTTGGGTGTCAAATATTCTAGTAGTAATGAAAAATGCTATAAGGTTATGTACAGTAAATGGAATCTATTAACTGCTATCTGATTTCAAAGATGCTATACTTTTCAGTGTCCTTGATCTTCAAGAAGCTTATCATCAGATTTCGCTTGATGATTCTTAACCTGCTTCATTACACACGAAGGGCAATACCGCTACAAAATGTATTCCTTTCGGTCTTGCATCTGCACCTGCGTTCTTTGAACGTATGATGTCTACAATTCTAAGCGACTTACCAGGTGCCAAGTGTAAACTGGATGATATTGCTATTTACGAAAGAACCGTGGAATAGCATGACCAACGTTTGTCTACACAGACCTCACCAATACAAATTACGCCTCAATTTAAATAAGTGTAAATTACACCAGTTCAGTATTAACTTTTTGGGTCATACTTTTTCATCTTCTGGTATATCGCCACGAGCTGAATTAGTTGAATCTATTTTATCTGCACCCACACCGAATTATGGTACTGCCATTCTACAAAATTTCTGTGGAATATTTCTGCACAGAAGAGTTTCACAAAACATAAAGGGCTTATTACTGCTAGTCCTGTTCTCGCATTATACGATTCTCCACTACCCTTATGTCTCTACGATGCTTCAAACTACGGTTTAAGTGCTGTGCTAACCAAGATGCATTCTGAACATGGTGAACGTACTGTTGCTTTTGCCTCCAGAACTCTTTCTGACTGCGAACGTCATTAATCTACCATTGAGAAAGAGGGCCTTGCTTGTGTTTTGGGGAGTTGAAAAGTGGCGTTTGTTCTTATGGGGCGTCATTTTGAATTGAGGACAGACCATCAACCCCTGTAAACCATTTTTACTTCTAAAGGTCTTGGTCGTTCAAATATGAGAATTCAAGAAGGGCTGCCCGACTAATGGTGTACGATTTTTTCTGTAGAATACAGAGAAGGTTCTGACAACTTCATTGCCGATTGTATGTCTCGCCTACCTTTACCTACTACTGATATAAAAATACAATACGATTCAGAAATGATTGCTATGGTAAATAGTCAACTCCATGCTATCTCCATTGATGATCTTCGTTCTGCTAGTACAGAGTATACGACGACTTATTACAGATGGTTGACCCACCGATAAAAAGATTGATTCTGAATTGTTTCCTTTCTACAACATACGTGATGAACTTGATGTTCAAGATACTTTAATATTTAGGAAGAATCTTATTGCTGTTCTTACATCCTTGCAAACGCAGTTGATTGAACTTGCTCACAAAACTCATTAAGGCATTGTGAGAACAAAACAACGTTTACACCTAGATGGCGGGGGAAAGCGGCAAAAACCTAATGCTATGCAGAAATGTCTAATTCAAAAACCAAATGTAAGATAATGCAATAACAAATACCTAAAACGTCTTATGCAAAAGATAAAATACAAGAAGCCTCTAATACAAAATACATATAACATCTAATGCACAATTGATTTTACAACGTGAAACATCTACCATAAGCATTTCTTCACTGTAATATCTTTATTTAGGTCAATGTCAAGGTCGACGTATTTTTTTATCGATACAATAATTTCTCCCAAATTAAGGGGGATAACTCTAGTGTATTGTTGTACAACCGGAAGCGCGGTTCCTTACGAATAAAATCTTATTCATTTCTTATCCAAATAAAGCCTCTAAAAGTCGTGTAATGAATAGAATCATTACATAGTTATCAACATTTCTTTCGCCATTGACGAATATCCAATATGGATATTGAAAAAGTCAAACAATTAAAGTTAATGTAGTTACGCTTCGGGACTAATCCCTTTATCAAGCGAAAAAAAAAATCGTGAAAGGTACAATTGTTTACATCGTGCGTGCAAGCCATTACACTTAGCCCTTATGTCGCTCCGCCCTCACGTCATTTCGCATCCCGTGTTTCATAGCTCATAGTAAATTTGTAATAAGGATTGCATCGTATTATTGTAAATTTTACTTTTGTAGCTTTTTACCACATACACAATATACAGAGACACACATGTGCAATTAAAGTTTGAAACTTAACTTCTGTGTTGTATATTGTTGTTGTTACCTTTTGTTGTTGTGTTGTTGTTGTTTTTTATTGTTTGTTGTAGTTTGTTGTAGTTTGTTGTTATTTTGTTGTTGTTTGTCGTTGCTGTCTGTTATTGCTGTTTGTGTGATTGTTGGTTGGTTGGCTTTGTTGTTGTTGGTGATATTGATGCTGCTTGTCATTGTTTGTTGTTATTTTGTTGCTGTCGTTGTTGATTGTTGATGTTGTTGTTGTTGTTGTTTATTGTTGTTATTCAATTTTATTTTTTTGCTTGTTGCTGTTGTTTGTTGTTGTTGTTTGTGTGTTTGTTGATTGGTTTTTGTTGGTTCTTGTTGTTTGCTGGTGTTGTGTTTTGTTGTTGTTACTCTCGACCTGATCTAATCTGAGCTAATCAGTAATAGTGTCCACAACTCACCGTCGACATTTTAGCCTTCAAATCCATGTGACCCGCAAGAAATGGGATTTTATTCTGAAAACTGATACAGATGGCTGAAGTTGACCTAAAAGACTAATAATTCTACTTAAAATAACCGAATAAATGACAAAATGAAATATCATCTCATGGAGATAATGATGAATCTGTTAAACTTTAAAGATTATAGTCCGCAGGCTGCTTATTACCACCGTGTTACCGCTCCCCATGCCCACTGTGCCCATGGAATAGCTGCTTTAACTCCGGCATTCAACGCTTGCCATAACCCAGATTGTTCTGAACCAGAATCCTTCTTTTCAATTTCAGATTTAACTTCTTCTTTTATCTCTTCCTTCATTCTCTCGGGTTCCTTCTCTGATCGAGTTTCAACCTCTTTCTTTAAAATGGTATCAGCAACTTTGAACATCTCTGCTGTATAAAATTTGTAACTATGGCTTTCAATGATGTGGGTAATTAAATCAAGCATGCCTTTAACGTCTTTTTTGTAATTTTTGGCTCTCGACTTTTTGGTACAAATAGCTGCATGCCGACCACCACAATCAAATATCAAATCTTTCAGGAATTGTTGACTGTCCTCAATGTACTCCTGTATATCTTTATACTCTAATTCATCCTTGCAAGTAAAAACTACCGCCGCATATTTAAGGACATCTTTACCAAATGTGGATTTTAACAGTTCAATTGAATCGATATCTTCTTTGGTTAACCGTTTAAGACTCAGTACAAATAAGAACAAGTTGGGACCAGGAGCTGCTAAAGCAACACATTTAACGATTTCGGTGATGGTTTCATCATTGGCTACATTTGTGTCAAACAGCCCAGGAGTGTCGATGACAACTAACGATGTTTTTTTATGTTTTAAGAACACAAAGCCCCTTTGACACGTTTTAGTTACAGAATTTGCTGAAGTTTGTGATGGAAAAGGGCGGTTTTCGTCATCTTTATACGACAATATACTGTTACCCAGACTACTTTTACCAGTTCCAGTCTTGCCGATTATTACAATACGATATTCTGAAATATATCAATAAATAAACTTGGTTATTGTCATTTATATACAACAGGTGGTTGATCGTGAAATGGTTTGCATCTCCGACTACGACCAGCTGAATTCATTGAATCTTCACCGCTGAATAAGTAGGCTAAGATTCAGTTGAAAGGGATTGTAAAGAGGTTTTCTATACAGTTTATTTGTTTCAGGGACACTGATCAAACATAAATTAGCTTACCTTTGTCAATATTAGTGGCCGCTGCCATATCGTCACAAAGTTGAATCAACACTCACTAAAATAAAAACAAACTTTATTAAAGATTGGTTCCCTTATTTTCATTTATGAATATGGAAATGCTAATACTTATATGAATAGAAAATAGAGTTGTTCTAATGACTTGAAAAATACCAGTTTGTCTAACATGTCCATAATTACTTCATAATTAGCTAAATTAGAAGAGAATTACTAGCAGAATTTGAGTGAGTGAGTGAGTGAGTGAGTGAGTCTTTTTTGTTCAACCAGACTACACATACATGGACAGTTATAATTGATTAAAAACTCTTTATTATATGAAGAACATAATGATATGATTAAGAATACATGATAATTCATTAGAAACACAAATTAATCAAATAGTTTGCTTAATTTGACACTAAAAAACAAGGAAACCCATCTTTTACTATAGAACCTATAAGTAACTAACAATGTGTGACTGCCGTAATTCTAGTGAACCACTGACAGAAATCTTCATTATTCAAAAAAAAGTTATATCAGAGTAATTAAAGTCTAATTATAGGTTTCAGTGAATAAGAATGTCTTTAGGTAGAGAAGATGGTAATATAGAAAGACTTTGCGTTAATGAAAATGGCCCCCGTCAATAAAATGCTTGCTACGTCACCGACTTAAACGACCATGTTTAGAATACTCTATCATTTCTGATTTGAGGTTGATAATCCTATCACATAAGATCGTCTGTGAAATACGATGAAACGACATAAGTGTGTGCACACTGGTCTGTATGGATGAGGTGCAGAGTTGACAAACCTGGTCGTATTGAGGCATCAAGCTTTGTGTAAGAGTGGACACGTTTCGTATTTATAATGATCAGTGTTTTCAAAGACTGAGAGTGGAACATTAAACTTACCTCTATTTATAACCTGTAAGAGCTGTAATCTTGAAGCGAATTCCTAACACAAAACACCTTCTCAGCATGGATTGTGGCCGGGATTTGTTGATCATGTAATCACATAAAAAACAACCAAGTGAAACCTCTAGTGTTTATGTTACCTGAAAATGTTCAATTCATTCGTTCCCTTGCCAATGCACTATCTATCCTGGTAACAAGGTCGCTCTTCTCTGCTATTAGTGAGTTGATATACATGTATACCGTGAATGTCCCTGGATATCGATGCACGCTTCTGTGGGGTCATACAGCTCCTCCCTAGTGTAATCTTACCACATATAATCGATGGTTACATAGTTACATAATCCAGGGTTAGTAATTCGTCGGCGGATTCTCTGAGAATCAATTTGTTAGAATTGTATACCTGTACCAGGGAAAAAGAGAGGGAAGATTCTTTTCGTCTTTTGTGGTTACGCGATAAAAATAGTTTTAGCATAGACAGGCAGATAGATAGAGTCTTGATTTATCATAATCTAACGAATCAAAAACATTATATAATGTGGGATTATAGTACAAGGATAAATATTCAAGAATTCAGTTTATGTAATTTTGTATGGTGATACATATAGAAACCTTATAGTTGTAGTGTGATTTCATTTTCCTCCAGAATTATATGTAGAGTAAACTGGAAGTAATGTTGATAGCACCATAGAAGACGATGGCGAGTGGTGTCATAAAAAAAGGTCAATAAGTTTTCTTTTTTCACAACTGAATGGCTACCGTCATGGTACGCTTCCGTAATTCCAAATGTATGTACTCGTAGTAAATTACACCTTAAACGAACCATATATCTTAAGTCCATTATAAAGATCGTACAGATCTTACTCAGCGCCCAGCATCTACCAAGATCGACTATGACTTCATCCACCAAGATAGACTATGACTGCATCCACCAAGATAAACTATGACTGCATCTGTCAAGATAGACTATGACTGCATCTGTCAAGATAGACTATGACTGCATCTGTCAAGATAGACTATGACTGCATCTGTCAAGATAGACTATGACTGCATCTACCAAGATAGACTATCACTTCATCCACCAAGAGAGACTATGACTGCATCTACCAAGATAGACTATGCCTGCAATACTGCATCCACCAAGATAGACTATGACTGCATCCACCAAGATAGACTATGACTGCATCCACCAAGATAGACTATGACTGCATCTACCAAGATAGACTATGACTGCATCTACCAAGATAGACTATGACTGCATCCGCACCAAGATAGAATATGACTGCATCTGTCAAGATAGACTATGGCTGCATCTACCAAGATAGACTATGACTGCATCCACCAAGATAGACTATGACTGCATCCACCAAGATAGACTATGACTGCATCCACCAAGATAGACTATGACTGCATCCACCAAGATAATCTTTTTATACGTATATAGACAATTAAACTAATAAATTGTTTACTACCAATTACACCGAACATACAGGTTGAATTGTCAAACTTTGTCAATATCATTTCTTAAATGGAACCATTGTTTACGTATAACAACAATGATCCATATATTTTATATTAAGATGTTTTATGTTTGTCCAAAGATTTATGACGTTTACTGATTTCAGTCATTCTTGAACAAAATGTTTTTGTATTTCAGAATATAGAGTTGTTCTAGTTGGAAAGACTGGAGTGGGTAAAAGTGCTTCAGGAAACAGTATACTGGGTCAGACGAAACTAAATGAAAGGGCTTTTACATCTCAGAACTCTGCTATGCCTGTCACACAGAGATGTCAGCGAAAACAGAGATATTTGGTTAATCACGAGGCATTGTTGGATATCATCGACACCCCTGGTCTATTTGACAGCAAGATACCCAACGAAGAAACGGTTAAAGAAATTTCTAAATGTTTAGCGTTGACTGCTCCTGGACCACATGCATTCTTGTTTGTCTTACGTATTGGTAGATTTACCAAAGAAGAGGTTGATACTTTAGAAATACTGAGGAATTTATTTGGTGAAAATGTTTATAAGTATGTTATAGTAGTTTTTACAAATAAAGATGATTTGGAAGATGATGAAGTAACGTTAGTAGAATTTGTAGATAACAGTCCAGACTATCTTAAAGAATTTTTGGAGCAATGTTATCAGCGATATGTTGGTATCTGTAACAAACCAGGTAATATGTCTCATGAACAAGATGTAGAATCTGTTATAGAATTAATAATTAAAACTATTGAAGAGAATGGAAGGGAGTTTTATAGTGAAGATTTATTGAATCTTGTAGAAGAGAGAATAGAAGAGGAAGTACAGACAATACGAGAGACTGACAAGACTAAAACTGAGGATGAGATACGAGAAGAATTGAGGAATGAAATAGAAACTATGGATGATGAATCAGAATTAGAAGGACTGTGGGGTGACATTAACACTATAACTTTTGATGGTATTAGTGATGCATTTAAACTGTATTTAAAACAAATTAACGAGGCAGCAGCCTAATGCCCCTTTCAGAATTTACACTGAGAATCCTGGAGGCCCTTAAATGATACAGTCGTTGAAATATTTGCTTGACTATCTGAAAGAGTTCAATTTCATCTATCTATAAATCCGACGTCCGGTTCTGTATTAGTATGCACTTAGTTTTTATTATTGTTTTCTATAACTGTATACGCCTATAGTTATATAATACTTTATCATCGGAGCATATCGGATTAATACGTTCATAAATATTCCCCTAAAAGCATACCATTTCGGCTTCGCATTGTTTAAACCCTTTTATCTATTGTCCCTCTTAATCTCTATATTGTTTCTTGTTGGTATATATTTTGTTATGTTTTATTCTCTTGCTATTACATCTGATGACGACACGTGTTTATTGTGTTGAAACGTTATGTGCCCAGCCTTAGAAGTGTGTTATATTCCATAATATTGTCTTGTGTTTTTGTTATATGTGCTCCTCGCTTCTATATGTCGTTCAAATCTTATAAAATTTCGGACTACGGGGAGTCACGTGACCCTGTCTTGGAAATGCGTAAACACAGAGAGTTGTGTTTGATATTATTTATTGTTTCTGTTATCACCGTCGTGTCTGTTACTCTAGGTACAATCTGTTTCGGCTTTGCTGATCTACGATTGTCTTAGGTGATACGTGTGTTTCATTCTTCTATTTTCTACTGTACGATAATCCTGCGTCGTACACCACAACGGACCCGACACCTCGTCTATTTGGGGCTTAATATGTTTTAGTATATTATATTATGTTGTTAGCCAAAATCATTATTTATGGTCACGTGAAATAGTCACTAGAATGAATTTGTTGATCTGTTACAGACCAGACATATATATTTCAATTTCATTTATTAGCTTATAAAGTTGATATTTCAGTTCTCTACAACATTGGTGTCAGAAGTAAATACATTTATTGTTCCTGTTGTCAATTTCATGTCTTCTAGGTACAATCTGTTTCGGCTTTGCTGATCTACGATTGTCTTAGGTGATATGTTCTGGTGGTAGATTGAATTTGTAGATAGAAATTTCAATATTTTTCCGTTTTGCTGATTACTTTCTAGTTGTATTTCTGTATCCTTCTTTAAAACTAATGTGTTTTCAATACGGTTCTATAGAGTTAATAGTGATTTCAGTGGAATATATTGCTATTTTCATTTTCTAATAATTGACGAGGTTCAATTATTTCGCCTATATTAATAAACAGTAAAAAATAACTATTTGTAGTTTTCTAGACTTTGAGACGGTGGTCATAATAAAGCCATGTCTTTTGATTTGAATAAGGCTTCTCTACCCGGACCCTCTTTTGCAGGAGTATGCGAGGCAACAGACGGAAATGCAATCGCAGATGTCTACCTTGCAGTTAGATTTTGAAACCAGATTAGGAGGACTAAAGAATCAGATGCAAGTAAAATTGAGCCAGGAGTTGTCGGATTTCAAAGCTGTAGTTTCAGAGTTGGAATCCAATTTACGATGTAAGGACAATACAATTGATCAATTGGAAGAAGCTCTGTATTCTGAAAGAAAGAAATATGATCCATTGGGTATGCAACAATCTGATTTTGATAACAGATTGTTGGAAACGAAACAAAAACATGAATCTGATATGGCCAAAGCGGATATGGTAAAAAGATCTCTTAGGGATGAGTTGGGGTCCAAACATGGTGATGTAAATATAGAAATGAGAGATAAGTATCAGAGTCTTAGACATGATATGTCCTGTATCATGTAAAAAGTGGATGATATTGTACATGGAGCAAACCCTGAGAAGGTTATGACAGGGGCAACTGTCGAAAGGGTACATACAGTAAGAAAACCAATGCCTTCCTTAAGTCATCAGTTCAAAGAGATAATAAGGTAGGCCCCAAGTCCTTTGAAATGTCCCCAGAATATCGAAAACATGCTAGAGTTTCCAATAGTCAAAAGTTTGATTTTCAGTTTAAACCAAAGCTCTCAACGTTTGATGGCAAAGCAGACTGTATAAATTATGTAGTAGTATATGAATAGACATATTGCATTTTGAGACAATTCTGTCAAATACCACTGGGATGAGTCATTTAAACTCAACAAGTTGATCGAGGCTTTGGGGGACAAGGCTTTGAAATTCTTTACTAATCAACCTTCTTCTGTTCAAAATGACTGCTATCTGTTAGTTGCAAATTAGTTGGCTCGATTCGGGTCCAAAAACAAACCTCAAACGAAACGTCGGCAGCTGCAGGATATGAAGTAGAACATAGAGGAAGATGTGGATAAGTTTGCCGAAAGAATTCTGGAACTAGCTCTGGAAGGTAATGCTTGCGAATCTGATAGAATCGTCGAAACTGTAGCCGTTGATTCCTTTTAAATGGGTTGTAGCGATAAACGAGCACACTGCTATGGCCGTGAGGCCGTGCAGGCAGTAAAGTTGAGTATAAGTAATCAAAAACTGATTATAGGTTCTCGAAAGAACGACGTTCGTAGGGTCTCGTTATTTGACTCTAAAGTAGAGGCACATGCCGACGATCAGAGCCTCCAGTTACGTGCTCTTAAGCCATTTACATTATCCAAGGAACTAGATTCCCTGAGAGCTCAAGTGATTAAAGTTCAGTCGGAGATTTCGACTAATGAGAGAGTTGGTAAGATATTAGAAATTTTGAATGATTCTAGGGGGATTCGAAGTCGATCGCCTTCCTCAAATCACAGGAATGCTTTTCGGTGTTTTACATGTCAGGAAGAGGGTCAATTAACCCGAGAATGTCCTTTAAAAGATGAGACGGTCAATTCTCATCCTGTACACAAAACTGTCAAGAACCAATTCTTGAATCTTCTGTACTCAAAGTCTAGAAAACTACAAATAATTATTTTTACTGAACCTCGTCAATTATTAGACTATTTTAACTAACTTTATTTAATGAAAATAGCAATCGATTCCAAAGAAATCACTATTAACTCTATAGAACCGTATTGAAAACACATTAGTTTTAAATAAGAAAACAACTAGAAACAGATTGTACCTAGAAGACACGAAATTGACAACAGGAACAATAAATGTATTTACTTCTGACACCAATGTTGTAGAGAACTGAAATATCAACTTTACAAGCTAATAAATGAAATTGAAATATATACGTCAACAAATTCATTCTGGTGACTATTTCACGTGACCATAAATAATGATTTTGGCTAACAACATAATATATTATACTAAAACATATTAAGCCCCAAATAGACGAGGTCCGTTGTGGTGTAAGATGCAGGACTATCGTACTGTAGAAAATAGAAGAATGAAATACACGAGGTGCGTGTCCGGACTCTTTACAGACACGATTCGCTTCTAATATTTTCAACTGTATCAAAAATCCCGCACCGTACACCACACAGGACATCGTACCTTGTCTAATACCAACAATTTACCTGTACTCTGATTTTTTCTGTGAATGAGTTGCTCGGTTAATAAAATAAAAAGTATTGAAGTTATAATGATTTACAAAAGCCGAAATATTAACCGAACTTCTTCTTATACCTTGACTGCATTGCCCAGTATTCTTGTATCACAGAATGCCAGCGAATACAGCCAATCAAAGCCCTCGGCCAGAAAGACTGTAGCTCTGATTTGCTGATGTAATCCAATCAAATCGCTGCATTTACAAACTTCTGTAATACAAAAATTATGGTTATTGCCGTCAAGGTATAAGGAAAAGTTAGTATTAGCTTGACATTGTGAAGAAGACCATTCTAATGATAGCACGAATTCTCTATTATGGTGCTGAAAGATAGAACTGCAAGAAGAGAATACAGAAAGCAAAGTGAATATATACACATGAAATTTACAAATGGGTAATGCCTCAGTCCCACTTGGCTATGCGATGGTTTGCGAACCATTGGCGAAGGAAAAAGTGGACAATTCCAACGCTTCTCTATGGTATACGCAGAATGTTTGCCGCGCATCTGCGATGATGGCAACGCATCACAAGCCTTCTCATTGAATCGCGATAGCTTCGCAAGAGTGGGAAAAATCGCCGTCGTCGATTGGGTGGTTTTGCATTCAGAAACTTCGCTTGATTGGTAACATTTTATGGTTTGAATCGGTGATCAGTTAGGATATAGAAAAAAAAAACTATTTCGAATCATTGTTAAAATGTTGTCCAAAAATTAGTGACGATCTATAAACGTTTTCAAAAAATTTTGTCTTTTCTGTAGAGATAGCCAGCAAGCAAGCTTGCCACCACGCCAGAAAATGACCAGCGACTCAACTTCTGCAATTTTTCCCATAGTTCAACAGTCCCTAGGCTTGACCCAAGAACGTCTCGTGGCTATTTCTCTTCCCCTACACACTAATAACAGGAATAGGACAGCCCCTTACTCTTGCTGGCCATATAAGTGTTCTCTATACAAAGCCAAAGTGCTTGTTCTAAGGATGGCCAGGGGGATGTAAGCCTCACCCACACAACTCCAGATACCTCCCCCCTTACATCCATACACACACACACACACACATACACTTATGTCGCCAACATATCGGGGGATGTTCGTTTACGTTAGGCAGTACTGAATATTTTCCGATACAACCCCAACACTGGCCGACCATTGGCAACCATCTCTGACCAATCTTGGTCATGGTCAGCAGATCCATCGCACATTATAGGCGAATATCGCAGAACTTTCGCCTAGTATTAAGCGGATGACTCCACCCTCACACCACTGTTCGTGAATTTTCTCAATATTTGAAGAACGATAAACTCGTTTCAGTGAAATAAGATTGAGCAAGATAGGGGAATTCTCTGAAAACAATGAATTTCACACACTTCTTCACTTGTGTTAATTCTTAATGTGCATAAGAGAACAGAGACATTCTTTGCTGCTTAGTACTTATCGGTCACTGTAAATATGGGACAATTCATGGTAGCAATTTGTGACCTGTTTGTGATATATAAGTCTTTATCTTTTTGGGAAAAAAATTGCCAAGATAAATTTTAAAGAAAACGAAAAAAAGATCCAGCCAGCCCTTTGAAAAAATTCTTCGAGATTTGCAAGGTCAATGGTATCCTCAATGGTATAACGTATACGCATATATATAGATAAATTTTAGGGCAGCTAAAGGAGCCTCAAAGGAGATTCTATAGCAGAAACGAATACACTGGAAATATTAAGCTATATTTTAAACAACTGATAGTGCACAAGAGTCCATATCACATAAAACCTTATCTAGTTGAATTATGTCATAGGTTTTACAAATCTCCAAAGGTAAAAACCGCATCAGATAATCAGGAATCGTAGGACACAGAAATTAGTAGAAAATCTTCCTGATTTTTAGAAAAATAATGCATCATCAGAATATTTTCCGTTTGTCTAACGTCTAAATCTATCGATTAACTTTGTAAAGAGCTTCAAATCGATTTGACATGACATTTGTTGGTTTCTGTATCACCAATCGCCATTAACAGTCGTGCAGTATATTATAATAAGAAGGCGGTGTTATGAATATGTATTGGCCCGCCTATCTTGTCTCTACCTGTGTGTTGTATAGTTGTTGAAGGCTGTGTACAGTATTATAGTAACAACCATTATCAAGAGTGGTAAGTCTAATACATAACTCTATTTTATTATATTTACTAACGTCAAGGGAAATTCGGTAGAGAAAAGGGTTATTTCTCCAATGTAGTTCAACGATATCTAAAAGTCTCCTAATTAAATTGCAGGGCACCGTTACTTAGACGATTGGTAGAACATTGCTCGTTCCATCGATCGATCAGCGCGACGTTGACATCAATTTGCATTCCGCTCACTGAATTGACTCTACAATCACGTGATTCACCTTCTTACACTTATACCGAGACATTAGCATTTTACAAAGATAACAACTTCGTTTCTCAGAATGATTGAATACGCATTCATCAGTGGCAGAGCCAGGTTTAAGTCCGAGAATCTAGAAGGCGAGATATCTAGAATGCCCGAATCTCTAACCTAGTTATTAGATTTTTGCCAGAAAACCTTGTTATCGGGGCTCCGCCACTGGCATTCATATTTCAATAGCGTCCGAATGATCGATGGTATGTAGGGCTCGCGCACTAAAAAAGAGCTACACCTTCCATGTTGGGTTTTTACTGGATTACTAATAACTGATAATATTAGCTTAAACTTATTTACTTTTATACGTCAACACTTCAGTTCCTCGTACAATTAAATTCCCATGTAAGAACACTGTATGCTAAAAATATAATTACTGAAATTTCCATCAAAACTTATATATTAAACACATTCCACTAGAAAAGTTACCATTCAAGTACTTCTATACCATACTCAAATTGTTTGTCGTTTTTATCAGCATTCTACTTTCTGTTTATGGTATTTCTTTTGTCTTGTCAGTTTATATCTGATTGAAACTATGGAAATAGAGGAGATCCGAGTTCTTCTTTTGGGCAAGACCGGAAGTGGAAAAAGCTCGGTGGGGATTCAGCTGATCGGAAGTAAAGTTTTTACAGTGAGCAGAAAGGATGGAACACAACAGAGTCAGTTAGCAAGACGTACACTAGAAGATGGTAGAGAACTAGTTATAGTTGATACACCAGGTTATTGTAATATTCGCCTGACAGAAGAGGAAACTCAGAAAGAAATTGATAGAGGAATGGAGTTACTTGCCCCTGGTCCACATTGTGTTATCTTTGTCTTTAGCTTATCAGAGAGGGTAACTGGTGATGACATCAAGAGAATTGAAAACTTTCAGAAAGTATTCGATATGTATCTCAACAAACATGTCCTTGTAGTGTTTACTGGTATGGATGAGTTCAAAGACGAGGGTCAGACACTGGATGAGTATATACAAAATTTGCCACAGCAGTTAAACGATTTTATCAGCCGTCTGGCAACGTCACCAATAGGAGTTGCTGCTAGACGTCATACTGATATAAATAGCTCTTCTGAATTGATCCAGTCTGTTAAATTAACTTACGAGAAGCTTGGCAACTCTTTCCTTAATAACTCCACTATCAGGAAAAGGTAAATATATCAATGTCTAAATTATTATTTCTCTGTAAATTAAGGTGAGTGATTCAGACGCCCAGGGAAAACTGCGATAGATTGAGAAACAGCAATTAGCAATACAGAAACAGCAATTTTGAGGCTTCATGGACTTTTTCGACAATCTTAAAGATGGGTTCCCGCTAATACTTATATGAATAGAATGTAGAGGTGTTCTAATGACTTGTAAAAAAATACCAATTTGTCTCACATGTGCATAATTAATTCATATTAGCTAAATTAGAAGAAAATTACCAGCAGAATTCCAATGAGTAAATGTCAAAAGTCTTTTTTGTTTATTTAGACTCTACATACATGGACATTTATGATTGGTTCATTATATTCAATAAGAACATAATGATATGATTAAGAATACATGATAATTCATTAGAAACACCAATTAATCAAATAGTTTGCTTAATTTGACACTAAAAAATAAGAAACCCATCTTTAAATAAATACATCAATAAAGAATCGCCATACAAATACGTTTCAGAAGTATGTAAATACAATACATATATTCTGTATTTCTCTCTTTGTAGGAAAGGTGGCACAGGCTGGATTTCTGTTGGAGATTCGAAGAAGGCTAAAAAAGGTGACTACGTTATAGTTGTATAGTTTTTCTAGTTTATCTAGATAGTGATGTCGATATGAAAAATCCATTTTCCAATTAACAATGTCTTATGATGTCTTTCATATTTCAGATAATATACCACAGAATAATAAAAAAACAGTCTTGTTACTGGGTAAAAGTGGAATTGGTAAAAGTTCAGTAGGAAATGTTCTATTGGGTGAGAAGAAGTTTGCTGCCAGTATGATGGAAGAAAGAGGCACTAAAACATGTCAAATTGAGGAATCAGACCAACTTCTAGTGGTAGATACTCCTGGTTTCTTCAGCTCACTTCGTTCTGATGTAGATACTGCTAACGATATCATCAGTACAATAAAGAGATTAACCTCGATTCATGTTTGTATTCTGGTGCTGAGTGTTGACGACAGATTTTCAGGATCTGAAGACAAGGCTTGGGAATTTGTCAGATGTGTATTTGGTGGAGAAATATCGGATCAACTGATGTATATTTTTACTGGTAAAGATTCGCTAGAAGATGATGACCGTCAATTCGTATTTCCACAGAATCTACCCCGTAATCTACGACCATATCACATTCTGAATTGTAAAGGATACAGTCAGAAAGACAGAGATGACCTACTATATGATATCAATTCCAGATTTAACAACCCCATTTCTCTTAAGAGAATCGCCAATGCCCAGGTAGATTATATTGCTAAGACGGAAATGCGTCGAAAAGAAGCCAGTAAAGTGGATGGTAAAGCTTACAGGAGGGCTGTTTATTCCAGGTTGGGTCACGAAGAATCTACAGGCTATTATTGGCAACAAATCCAACGTGTTTGTGACTGGTTCCGATCTTGGTTTGGTCTTGGTGGACAGAATCGCGGATAACATTTTCATTGAACTATTAGACGTGTTGAAACAGGTACAGATGTTTTCATTTAGAACCAATCTGTCCATGGTTATCCGATATTGATAGATTAATGTGAAACGTTTATTGATAATCTTGAAAATCAAATACATTTGTCAAATCGCTATTTCTTCAGTTGGCTCGTTCCTATTTGTAGTGTGTTTTGTGTATGTTGAGCAGCTATGACGGATGTGGCGCCAGGCAGGGTGTGCGTACTCTTCTAGACACCCGATACCACTTTTAGACCTATTGATGGCCTACTGACCCACACTACATAACCCAGAATAAGACCTTTTGATGACCAACTGACCGACACTACGTAACCAAGAATTAGATCTATTGATATCCTACTGACCGACACTACACAACCCAGAATAAGATCTATTGATAACCTACTGACAGACACTACATAACCCAGAATAAGAACTATTGATGAACTACTGATTGACACTACATAACCCAGAATAAGGCCCATTGATGACCTACTGACCGACACTACATAACCCAGAATAAGGCCCATTGATGACCTACTGACCGACACTACATAACCAAGAATAAGGCCCATTGATAACCTACTGACCGACACTACATAACCCAGAATAAGGCCGATGGATGACCTACTGACCGACACTACATAACCCAGAATAAGGCCCATTGATGACCTACTGACCGACACTACATAACCCAGAATAAGAACTATTGATGAACTACTGATTGACACTACATAACCCAGAATAAGACCTATTTGATGAACTATTGACTGACACTACATAATCCCGAATAAGATCTATTCATGACCATTTGACCGAAACTACATAACCCCGAAAAAGACCTATTTGATGAACTATTGACTGACGCTACATAACCCAGAATAAGAACTATTGATGACCTACTGATCGACACTACATAACCCAGAATAAGAACCATTGATGGCCTACTGACTTACACTACATAACCTAGAATAAGACCTATTGATGACCTACTGATCGACACTACATAACCCAGAATAAGAACTATTGATGACCTACTGATCGACACTACATAACCCAGAATAAGAACTATTGATGACCTACTGACCGACACTACATAACCCAGAATAAGAACTATTGATGACCTACTGATCGACACTACATGACCCAGAATAAGAACTATTGATGACCTACTGATCGACACTACATAACCCAGAATAAGAATTATTGTTGACCTACTGATCGACACTACATAACCCAGAATAAGAACTATTGATGACCTACTGATCGACACTACATAACCCAGAATAAGAACTATTGATGACCTACTGGCCGACACTACATAACCCAGAGGAAGACCCATGGATGACCTACTGGCCGACACTACATAACCTAGAAGAAGACCCATTGATGACTTACTGACCGACTACATAACCCAGAATAGGACCTATTGATGACTTACTGTCCGACACTACATTACCCAGAATAAGACCTATGGATGACATACTGACCGACACTACATAACCCAGAATAAGATCTATTGATGACCTACTGATCGACACTACATAACTCAGAACAAGGCCCATTGTTGGCCTACTGACCTACACTACATAACCCAGAATAAGACTTATTGATGACTTACTGTCCGACACTACATTACCCAGAATAAGGCCCATTGATGACCTACTGATCGACACTACATAACCCAGAATAAGGCCCATTGTTGGCCTACTGACCTACACTACATAACCCAGAATAAGACCTATGGATGACTTACTGACCGACACTACATAACCCAGAATAAGATCTATTGATGACCTACTGACCGACACTACATAACCCAGAATAAGATCTATTGATGATCTACTGATCGACACTACATATCTCAGAATAAGATCTATTGATGACCTACTGACCGACACTACATAGCCCAGAATAAGATCTATTGATGACCTACTGACCAACACTACATAACCCAGAATAAGATCTATTGATGATCTACAGATCGACACTACATATCTCAGAATAAGATCTATTGATGACCTACTGACCGACACTACATAACCCAGAATAAGATCTATTGATGATCTACTGATCGACACTACATACCTCAGAATAAGATCTATTGATGACCTACTGACCGACACTACATAACACAGAATAAGATCTATTGATGATCTACTGATCGACACTACATAATCCAGAATAAGATCTATTGATGACCTACTGACCGACACTACATAACCCAGAATAAGATCGATTGATGATCTACTGGCCGACACTACATAACCCAGAATAAGATCTATTGCTGACCTACTGGCCGACACTACATAACTCAGAATAATATCTATTGATGATCTACTGATCGACACTACATAACCCAGAATAAGATCTATTGATGACCTACTGACCGACACTACATAACCCAGAATAAGATCTATTGATGATCTACTGGCCGACACTACATAACCCAGAATAAGATCTATTGCTGACCTACTGGCCTACACTACATAGCTCAGAATAAGATCTATTGATGACCTACTGACCGACACTACATAACACAGAATAAGATCTATTGATGATCTACTGATCGACACTACATAATCCAGAATAAGACCTATTGATGACCTACTGACCGACACTACATAACCCAGAATAAGATCGATTGATGATCTACTGGCCGACACTACATAACCCAGAATAAGATCTATTGCTGACCTACTGGCCGACACTACATAACTCAGAATAATATCTATTGATGATCTACTGATCGACACTACATAACCCAGAATAAGATCTATTGATGACCTACTGACCGACACTACATAACCCAGAATAAGATCTATTGATGATCTACTGGCCGACACTACATAACCCAGAATAAGATCTATTGCTGACCTACTGGCCTACACTACTTAACTCAGAATAAGATCTATTGATGACCTACTGACCGACACTACATAACTCAGAATAAGATCTGTTGATGACCTACTGGCCGATACTACATAACTCAGAATAAGATCTATTGATGACATACTGGCCGATACTACATAACCTAGAAGAAGACCCATTGATGATATAATGCTCTCGTGCTTTCTCGAGACAATTTTTGTAGTCTGTAGTCATACTTGGTAGGGCCCTAGCATCAGTTTATATTATGTGTTAACCTTTGGTACTCGGGACATTTTTTTCAACATTTTGTATTTTCATCTGAAGGTGGGGTCCCTTAGGAATAGGGGCTCGTGGACTTGGTACAACCGGTCCCTATGGTAGTCGAGTCACAGTAAGTTGCATCATTACCAAATACAAACGCAGAGAAAAATATACGTCGTGTCTGCGTCAATATACGTATTATAGCATGTATTTATACAATCATAAATGTATGCTTTAAAATATACATAAATAACGTATAAAGCTGACTTTAACTTAGTTAATCATTTTGAATTTATCTCTATCCAATTAGGAAAACAATTCTGAGAAATTATTCAATTCTGAGAATGTTATAAATAGGCTTAATACTTGGAATGTAAAAAATATTGATGTCACTCTGACCTAATGCAAACAATAGATCATACAGTGAAAATCGATGTTTGACAATGGAAATACTAAAGAATAACACTCTCAATTCTATGTCATATTAGAGGTCATGATGTCGATAAATATAAAGATTTAATTTGACCAGAGGAACAGGAAAGGGTAAGCTGTAAAGCTTCGAAACACGAATTTAATTGTATTTTTTAAAATTTGTGTAGGAGAGAACACCCTCAGACCCCTCAACCCCGATAGTTGTCCCCCCGTTTCAGGTGGCTAGCTCCGCAAATGCTGGAGTCACCTGCATATGGGCCTGTCTCCCCATTTCCTTACCTTATATAGACTTTAAGTCGGTTATAAGGATTTTTATTCAACAACGATGGCAGCAACGATGGGATGCTGCAGGCGCAAAGAAACTTCATGCCATCAAGCCTCTCTTACGAGACTGGCCCTCCTACTATTGTGCCAACAGGAGGAATGAAGTTGTTTTGTGTCGCTCTCGACTTGGTCATACTGTTATCTGCTCAGCGAGATCCTCAACCAGTCTGTGAGCACTACCAGGTCCGCCTGACAGTGAAACACATTCTGATAATTGAGTGCAAGCATCTCAAACCTTTGAGATCCCAGCACTACCGTACTGGGTATTTACATCATTTGTTTTATCGTCTTGTTTACTTCTTTGATAATGTTTCTTGTTTTATATTATTTACTGTTTTAGTTTTGTGTTTATGACATGATGTTTATACCGTGTTCTGAAGCTATATAGCCAGTTTGGTGCTGATGCTCCTAAATGCATTTCATTTCATTTCACCTGCATATGGTGTTTTTGAGTTTCTCGTAGACTTAATCTTCCACGTTTATAGCTAACACACTGGATATAAGTTACTCTTGCTCTCGGGCTTATATTAGACTGATGTAGGTGTATTTTACGAACGCATTTCTCACTTACAGCTATCGTATATTATTGGCGTATAGGCAGTTTGGTTACTGAACTAGCTGAGATAGTGTGGCGGAGCAGTCGGAGGATGTCGGGGAAACCAAGATACGGGAAACAACCTCAAACTATTGAAAATAGTGCCTCGTGTATTCACTTTTATTTTTTATTGTACGATAATCCTGCATCGTACACCGCA